GGGGGCGGAGGGGGAGGTGAGGGTTAAATTCCTAGAGACAGGATAACAATATGCCGCTGGATAGGGTCGCATTTTCATGACTGCACTGACTATTGTGGGGTCACATTTTCAGCTATTTTCAATAGAGTTACTAGAATGGGGTTACAAATTTTTAAGATTTTAGGTGTAAGAAAATTATGGCAAGTAAGGATTCATAAGCAGGAAGATTCGTGGCAAAAAAGTTGTTACCTTATTTTAACATTTCATAAATGGCTCCCATTCCATTCCGGAATCCATTCCCCAATTGCTTGCAACTTGATATGTAAAACCATGACATTTTCTCTTTTTTTTTTTTGACACATTTTCTGGTCCAAGTCTTCCCTTCGTCTTTCAAGTGAGCTTTAGTTATTGTATTTTAATTTAGTTTCAATCTTAACTAACCTTCTTACAGCTTTTGGATTGGTTTGTTATGCATCTTTTCCCATTAATTATTCTTCTTCCCTGATACTTAAGGTTGTTTTTATGTGTTTTGCTAGGGGTTCAAAGGGAGGGGGAAATGAGCTGATGATGTCTGGTAATAGATAGGTATTACAAATTGAAAGTGCTGATTATCCAGTGTTGGTATGATTTCAAATTTGAAGGAGAAAATCAAAACAATTTGAATCAAGTTTCTAGTAACAGTTAAATTACACAGTAATGGTTAATGTATTAAAACATGTCACCTATAGAAGTCCAATTGAGCGAACATGGACTGTTACAAAACAGGCTCCTGTCAGGTATTTGACACAGTTCAATGGTAACATTGTATGAATATCAATTACATGTTGAATAAAACAGCTACATGTAATTCAAATGTTATATCATCTATTTTTACACATTCAGGCTTAAATTTATAGTCAGGAAAAAAAAAATTCGTACAGTGATTGTAATAATTACTGTTGTATCAATAATGAAGAAAATAAAGACTGTTCTACCCAACCCAGCAGTTGGTTAAGCACACTGGTTGACCTGGGACAACTCTTTTAGCGCTGTCTAATGTAAAGGTCACAATCACTATCTCAAATCATGTTAATTATTAACCTCCAATGTCATATTGCAAATTGACCTGACCAGTGGACATTTTTCGTTTTTGCTGAGGATGCCCTTGTGAAAAGTGTTCGAGCTCCAACAACAATGTTGGTCGTATGTAAAGAGGTATTTATAAATTATTATTATACTTTGGTTTCAATCAGTTCTCCAGGTTTACTGATATTCTGTATAATTTTAAATGTTTGATAACAGATCTTAATAAAATTATAAAAAATTGCAAGTCTCAGTAAAAAATTAATCTTGTATAATTGTATGATTTAAGAATATACATAGGGGCAAATGTAAGAAGTAGAATTTGACTCTAGAAACTGTCAATAGATTGTAAAAAGTTGATGGAAGTGATAGTCTAACCAAAGGTAGTGATAAATGTGAATGCTTTGCTCTCTGACTGGTTGCTGGACTTTGTATTATTATTATTATTATTATTATTATTATTATTATTATTATGCGCCTTTTTGCGCGCCTTTTTGCACGCCTTGTCACTTTAAAGTTTAAACTTTTAAGGTCTCCTAATTCCTCATTTACAATTCTATATTCGGAATAAGGCGATTGCTGTATCACTCTTTTGTGTCAGATATTTGGCCTCAAGAACGTGTAATTAGAACTAGAAACGATTCTTGTTTGAAGCAGCCATATTTGTTGGCATGTAATAACAATAATTACTTAACATCACTGAGAAGCGATTGTTTCACAAACATGCTGAACGGACTCATTGATTAATATAGTATGACGACTGAAGTCTAAAACTGGAAAATTAACCAACCGATGGACACAACAAAGATCAAATAAAGTTCCACGTATGATGATTTTTGCTCTACTCTGTGTTAGGGTGTCATGCGTGCAACGTTTTTTCTTGGTCCTTACCACTTTTTATAATTGTTTGCACTTATGGAGCTCTTCTTTAATGAAAGGCCTATTACCAGTTGTTTGGAATTTATGAATCACTTTCCACGACGAAAGTCAAGGGCACTTGAAGCTAAGTAATACTAAGTGAGGAAAACTGACTGTCTCATCGCACTTGTGCTATGGAAAGGCCAGCGTTCGAGGTCATAGTTCATTCTGAACGGCCAAACCCAGTTGAATAACCATTACCATTTTGAATTTCCACTAAAAGTTCATCTGCTTGTGTTGGTTTTGGATCATAACTCGAATGAAACCTGTGGGTATGCTGTTTTTTTTTCCAATTTGCCAGGTGCAAAGTTTTTCGTTTTTTCACTTGAAACAACTGTTATTTCAAAGGAAGACCAAATTTATGCAATTCTATTCAAGGCAAACTTACTTTATTGATTATGTTAACTCCACTATGCTTTGCCAACCCAAACGATTTCAAAGAACTGCATTTTAAAAGGTAACTTAGACTAAAATTTTTCCGGAAAATGATAAGTTTTCGGTGGACTTTACTAAAGAGTGGTTCATTAAACATATGAAAAAAAAGTGATGACAAAACAGTGGCTCAAACAGAAGAAATATGTAAAATTCAGGGAGATGTTAAAGGACTTCAGAGAGTGGAAGAATTTTTGGTTAACTGTTGGTTATCTGTCGGCCGACTGTCGGCGATCTGTGCAAGTTTTACATCGATTTTTGAGTGCAAAAATGAACTAGTAAAGTTTTTTCACCGCCTGTCACTAACCTGTTGGTTACCTGTCGGTGGCCTGTTGGTTTAGTGTCGGCCAAGTGTCGGCCAACTGTCGGCAGACTGTTGGCCGACTGTCGTTGGAGGGGGGCTGTTCTTCACAATTACCGAAATATCAATGCGAGTGAAAATACCGATGTGCCAAACAAGAAATGGCTTCTTACATAACGAAAAGAAGGCAATCTTTCTCGTTCAGCAAGGTCGTTCAGCGATATTCCGGCGACGAAAAAGTTATGCGCCGACTAGCTCCGCTGACAAAACTTATCTAGTCAGTTTAGGAGGACGATCAGAGACTGGAGCCATTCCTGTATTTCATCGCTGACAGGAATGGCTCCAACTGATGCGTATATTGATTTTTTTTTTTCAGTTTGGCTAAATAATTTATACATTAAGATAAAAACTGAAAGAGCGTTTTATTAGGTTGTTCTTATGTTGAACTCTACAATGCTTGTAAATGTAGCCCTCTTTTATCAATACAGGGCCATGTAGTTTCTAAGTTTTCAAATAATGCAGCAACTGCATGTCACGTTTGGAAAATCACGCAATGTTGCATGACGCTGCGATCGATACTTTGAATCTACAGTATGCTCTGCTGGAGAAATGTGGCTTGGTCGCAATCGAGGGATCATTTTTTTGTGGAAAACTGATTTCCTGGGATAGTTGTTCACATAAAGGACAAATCCATTGACGCTCTCCTCATCTACTTTTGCACAACACTTAAAGGAAGAAAGTCGGGGATCACTTTAACATTTCTTGGTAATTTCTAACAACTCCACTAGACCTGAAAAAAGGGAACAAACAAAACAAATAAACAAAAAAACGTCTTACCAGTCAAACCAGTGGCAGTAACTCTCGCACTGAATCATGTCGAAGTACCTTGATTTTTTGCAGTGATGGCACAACTAATCTTCAGACAGTTTTTCGGCTATAACAAGAAAGAGTATTAAAAATGATTTTCTAAAGCTAAAAATTAAAAAGGGCTGTTCATCACATGACGCTGTTTTAGAACGTGTATATCTTGTTTGCTATTGTATCACAAGGTATTTATACCACTTAAGTTTAATAGAGAATGAGTAGAACATAAACCATATTTTCTCTAAAGTACACGAGCCATACTAACCTAATTTGCCAACTGCTTTCTAGGCCTCATCTGTAAAAAACCTCTTCAGAAACAGAGAACTGAAAAACAGAATTTTCTATAGGATTCAAGTAATTGCTAACTTGTATTATTCAATGTGCTACATTTGGAAGTCGACAAACATCAGCTTAACAGCTTCTGTGAAGAAAAAGTTGGCTAAGTTTCGGCGAGGTGTTGAAGCAACATCTTGTCGATATTGATACTATCATTAGAGAGGGTAGGTTTCTAAAGAAACTGTGGTGCTGCGTTGGTGGGAGAGTATAACAGGGTAATTAAGTATTATCAACTGAGTGATAACGTAAATTGGCCGCCGTAAAGAGTTTTAAAACTGACGTTTCGAGCTTCAGCCCTTCGCTAAAGCGATTGACAATTCTGAGATTATTTTAGCAGAGAAAAACCTTCAAGAAACGGTGGTTTTATTCCTTTTGAGGATAGCTGGTGTGATGCTTAAAAAACCCATCATTGACAGGGCAGCAACTCAAACGACTGACTTAAAAAATATGTACCATCCGGTAAAGATTTGCTTGGTTTTATTGGCTTGGCGCGACAGAAAAAAATACGTTTGATCATGAAGAGAGAATCGTAAATTTGGTTACACCAGCGGAAATTAAAGCTTGCATGTCATTTATCGTTTTCAGGCTTTGTGATGACTGACATATATTTGGTCATGTGATAGCCTAATTGCGCATGCAAAATGCGAGTCGAAGTCAACACATGTTGAGTATAAGCCCTCGTAGAGCCTTAATAAAACCCCACATTTTTAACCAGTAGTGTACATCTGACCATGTCATGGCTTCATGATTGTTTTGTAAACTTACATATTTGTGACCTTTGTAGCTGTGAAATTTGATCTGACAGGCCTATCGCTTAGGCCTCTTAAAAATAAGCGACAGCATCCCTGTCATGCGTAGCGATGAATGAGCATGCCAAGGTTCTGTATTTGCTCTGTTCGTTTCGCCCTCTCCACCACTATGAACAATCTTCTGTTTCAGTTTTTGCATCTAAACTCACCGGTGCGGTAGGTAACCCTCAAACGCTCCACTTTCGAAGCCAGCGTTAGCGGAGGGGGGAAGTTTGAATTACAAAGAGAAGTTATAAGGGGACAGCTGCATCTGAGTGGTGTTTCCAGCAATAAAAGATACATTTTTCACACCAGATTTCGCTCAATTTTTTCACTTTAATTCCCGGTTGTAAAACTGACGGGCTAAAGAACGTCCATGTCCTATCAAGAAGTGAGCTTGATGCAAAATCTACTAACTATGACAGAGTAAATATTCCTGGCAACAGAGAAAATGTTCCATTCTCGGCAATGACTTCAAAAACCTTTTTACAGTTCTTCCGCCTGATAGCACTCGATCGTAGTCCTTTTTACCATTATCATACACAGTTTTTAAACTTTAGTAGATAGTACTGTCCCTGTTACTCGAACTGAAAGTTTACAAAAAAAGTAAAAAAAAGCAATTATTCAACTCTACCCTACAAGTCTTACTAATGTAGCAAATAAAACTAAGGGGCACAAATGTTCCTATTAAATCTGGATAAATACAAGCTTAATCAAGATCTTAATAAATTTAGGCAGTTTTCCTCCAGGACTGCCAGTGCTACTTCTTCAATTTCTTTTAAAGAATCGCGAAGAAGAGCATGTGCCCTGACAAAAGATGAAGAAGTAGCTATTAATGAACCCAAGATCGGAATATAACAAGCGATTCCTGCAAAACCTTCTACGGTAGCTTCCGATGCCAACTGAAGAGAATTGGCAAGCTTTATGTTAAGGTCGAGAATTTTCCTTTGGGCGACAGAACTTAGCCTCCCATAACTTTCGGATCCTTCTACAGGAATACAAAGCTGGGTTTTATACTCGTTAATTTCACCAGACACGTGAGCGGCATCAAACTCAATAGATGGCCCAGAATCAAAAGTCATCCTGGTCACAGCAGATAATCCTGCAACAAGGATTATCCGTCCCTTGAGAACATCAGCTTTTCTCTTCAAGATATCTTTTGACAAGCTGGTTAGGTAACTGTGAGACAAGGTGAGTGCCTCTCTCTTATATGTTGGCAATGCGTCAAGAATCGCTTCGGTAAGTCGACTGAAATCCCACTTGTCGGGATGATGGTTGCTTATCAGGAAGATGTCGTCTTCACTGCTGATGGGTTTGCCGGCCTCGTCAACCAGATTGTCTATACAGTTGCGCCGGATTTTCTGTAACATAGCAGCTTCGCTGAAAGATTTCTTTCGCCTTTCTGCTCGAACATTTTCATCGATTTTTGTGTGAACGAAAAAAAAATACTTCCTCTGTTTCCTGATCTCTCTGGCCAATATGATGTCGTTCTCGGTAAATCGGTTGCATGCAAAGATAAGGCACGTCTGATATTTTTCCAGCATCACTTTTTCGAGGTACGTTTCCAGGTCACGGTAATTTGGAGTACCAATTCCTGGTAGATCCCAAAACTTTATGTTTGGACATGTTGGGTGATCATAAGATGTGGGCTCTGTGGTGCATTCGCTGACACCAACCGGGGCTGCACCATCATCATCGTCACCAAGCCTTAAAAAGTAACAGATGATTCAATTTGCTATCTACTGAATTGGTGGTGAAATCTTTCAATCGGGGAAGGGTGGAGGTTTAATTGGGTAAACTTTCACCTGTTATAGTCTATTCTGTGGCCAGTTATAGACCCCATCTCAGTCACTTCTGGTGATATGTAAACAACTTTTTAAAGTGATTCATCATTATTACACCGCGCATCCTGTATCGCTCATAAAATTCACGTAAACAGGCGAATAAGTGCGAGCGCGCTCCGAGAACATGGTACTGTTTTTCAATCAATGGATGCGGCAAACAGACACGATGGTCTTTTGCTCTTGAACGAGTGCGGTAACCTTTAGTTTAAATTACATATCACATTGTTCCAAACGCTTTGGACACTCTACCTATCAGCATATTTTTCAAGTTTGACCTAAAAACCCCTTGCTTCCAGCGACCGCAAAATGAACAGATGAAATGACACGCATGATTAGTATCAGCACAGGCATAGATGGGGTAAGATTGGCCCATCATAAATATTTGCGATGGTCCACACATATTTTGACGAACACGAAAACTCTTCACTCTCAAAAAATCTATCTACAGATTGAACATTTTTTCTGGTCGATTGATAATTTTCCAATCGATCGAGAAATTAGTTCAGCGGGTGTGATCACGTGGTACAAACAAAAATAGCGGATTGTAAGGGCGGTTTAACTTGAGCTACACTCACACATGAAGCAGTGTCGCAGGAGAGGAACTCCTTCTGAGTGTTGCTGGAAACTTTGTCTTTTAAATCGGTGTGTCGGATATGGCAGAATTCTTCAAGAGGCAGCGTTTTACAAAACATTACTCTACTTATAATACACTACAGGACTCAGTTACAACACGTCACTTACAATAATTTACTGAGAAAACACTACTAACAAAGTATAGCTTACAATAAACTTGATTACAGCAGATGACTTACTTTCGATTATTTACACTACGTACACAATACTCTACATTTACATTATTTTACGACATATTACACTACTTTCAATACGTTACGGTAAATTATTTATGCTTTACAATAAAATTTGACTTCTTATGCGACTCTGCATTGTTTGGATGACACCCATCCCACAAACCGATATGTGGCAAAGCTTATCCCATTTCTGAAAATGTTTAGCTGATTTATTCCGCTTTGCTACTATCTTCATTTCTACCTGGTATATCTCCCCGATCTTAGCCTTATAAACTCGTATGGAGGGATTCTTAGAATTCAAATTACACGTGTATATATAAAATTTAGCGGTCAGTTTTAGATGATTTAGAATAATAAAGTCCCCTTCCGCATTTAAACCTCCAAAAAATATATCCATTGTTGTAAATGTTTGAAGGTTAACTAGACATTCACCAAGCCAAGAACAGAAAGCTTCCCAGAAAGCCTTTATAACATTGCAATAGAAAAAAATATATGTTCGAAGGATTCAACCTCGTTTACAAAAAGTACATAAAGGCGAATCCGACAATCCCCACCTAAACAATCTTTAGTTTGTAAATACTATATTATTTAATACTTTATATTGGAATTCTCTAATTTTAGTTTCAATTGTGACGGTAAAAGGCAAGAAGAATATTTTCCTCCAGTCAAACGGAAAATGTGGAAATTTTTCCTTTAACTTTTTTTTGTACAGTTGGAGGGATTTGCTTTTTGCTTTTAAACGCGTTATAAAGCGATTTGGACGTGGTTTTGGCTAACATCACCTCAGAATTTTCCAACTTTAAACAAATTATATCATCTGTATGAGAAGGGAGATGTCAAGCGCTTTGTTTAACATTACGCCTCCTGTCTCAAGGAATGGCGTCCACGACGCTCATTAATTTAAAATGTTGTATCGAAGATAAATTTGGATGTAACACCTTAGCACCCTTTAAGAAGATTCCAGTGTCAGAAATGAGATCACCGATCGCAACAATTCCTTTAGAAAGCAAGTGTTTTTCGAAAAGTGAGATCTTTTGGACAGAAATATTTTTATTGTTCCATATAACCTGGTGAACTACATCTTCATACGAAAGTATTGAAGGTTGCCGTAACATGGACCAAGTGTCCAGGCACTCCTTATAAAAGGACGGAAGGTAGATAGGTAACTGCCTAGTATCAAAATTACACTTAAGAATAAATTCTCTCCCTACCTGAGAAAGGAAGTAATTCAACTTTATTTTCCAAGAGCTGTTATTATCTTTATTTGTAAATCCTTTTAATACCATCACCCTCTGTGCGAGGATCATCGACTGAATATCCAATATCTTAAGTCCTCCATCCTCGATATCATTGATAAGAGCGGCGCGTTTAATTTATCATTGCCTTTCCAAATAAAACGGTACATCCGAATGTTGACCTCTTTGATTAAATCATCTGTGAATGTAATCAACGACGCTTTACTCAAGACTTTAGGGATAATATATGATTTTACAAGCTATATCCTTCCCAGGAGAGTAAGCCCTCTCCATTTCCACATATTTGTTGTATTTTTGATAGACTTTAAAATTGCTTCAAAGTTCGCTTTCATCCTCTATGGGACGTTATAGTCAAAAACGATTCCTAGAATTTTAATTGAAGTTCGTACTTTGTGAGCATAATTGATTTGATCGAGACGATGGCTACCAATAGCAAAAATTTCAGTCTTATCTTTACTGACTTGGAGGTTGGAGAATCTAGAAAACGACTCAAGAGTCGCCACCAAACGGTGATATGACGTAGTATCTCCAAGGAAACAAGTCATGTCATCGGCAAAAAGGGTTAGTTTGATTTGTTCCTCCTTAACTTATATACCTTTAATTTCATTGTCTTCACGAATTCGACAAGCGAGCTCTTCAAGAGCAAGGATGAATAGTAAAGGTGACAAGGGGTCACCTTGCCCAACCCCGCATCTGACTGGGAATTGATTTCCCTTTAATTGATCTCCCTTTAATAAAGCCATTCTGGTTAGGGTGACTCAAAAAAGGTAGAATTTGTTCTAGCCTTCTTGCAATTACTTTGGATGTAATTTTAACATCGACATCAATTAAAGAGATTGGTCTCCAGTTCTTCATAAAACGTCTGTCTTTGTCTTTCTTTTCTATCAAAGCAATCATAGCCTGTTTCTGTGAGTTGGATAGCTGTCCCTGTTCATGAGCAAAAGGGGTCTATGAATTGTAACTTCACGGTTACATTCATTAAATCTTTAAACCAGAATAGTATCAAACCATGTCTGATTGTCCACCTGGTTGCTGTGTGAACTTAAATATATCAAATTTAAGGCATTGACAAGGCCTTGGATATGAGATATGAATATGAGTAGAATTCCCTTGGAATTAGCATCTTATTTTGTGCGACAATAGTGCTTTCTCGCACGTCGGAATTGAAAAAATGGTTTCTCACCCATCGGAATTATTTGTGTACGACACTGTTCACGATAATTGTGGATCTAAAAAAATCTAATGTAATGTTATAGAATAATGAACTGTAACTCTGAAATTCATGACGCTCTAGATAAAACTATGTGTCTGGCATGTTCTGCACCTTTTTCAAAGGCTTTTGTAGCTACCTTTGTGGCGATATCTTTGGAAAAATTTCCTGTCAGTTTGGAGGCAACCTTGCTTGCGACTTGTTTGGCAACATCAAAAGTACCTTCACCATTTTGAATCATTTTAGCATTGCGCTTCACGGTGTCCACATTGTAATACACACTATGATCAGTTTTGTACCTGATCCGCCGTACTCTTGACATATATATTATTGTTACAAATTTCACTCTTCTTTCAAAATCAATATCAGCGAAACAGGAATGTTGTTCAAATCAAGAGGCCTGTTAAGTGCATCTGTGAGATACATACGCATATCTTTTGTAATATTTGAATTGGTTTTATAGTACAATGCTCTTTTAGGCTCGATATGAAATGGAAAACTGAGAGGTAAATTGTCTACGCTGAATCGATACAGAATATCTGAACAAACACCAGAAACAACACTGTCACTAATGACTTTTGTAACGTTGTGTATTTCGACCAAAATATAGGTATCCATTTGGAGGTACTTTAGATATTCACAAAGCAATTGGGAAGTTGCCAAAACCAAAAAGTGGTTGGACCTTACCAGTTCATAAATACATAGGTCCGTTCAATGGTCTGTAATCTCTGTTGAAATATAATTCTAACACTGATGAAAAACTTGAGATCTACGATTTGCCGACGGGTAAAACGGATGCAATAGCAATGCAACATGATGCTGACTATTCTGTGCGCAAAGATGATAGAAAGTGTAAAAATAAAGAAGATCGCAAAATGGTCAAAGCTCTCGATGCCGTACCTTATAATGAAAGTCAGTGGGGACATTTCTTAGCACGAAATATCAACACAAATCAGAACCTCTTTGAGTAAGAACTGGCAGGAAAAACTAGCTGATGAATTACATAAACTAATCAAAAGATATTTCACCCAACTGCGTTTTATTGTGAATCACATTGATGAAATATGGAGTGCAGACGTTGTTGATATGCAAACTGAATATCAGTAAATGGAATAAGGGGTATGAAGATCTGCTTATGGTTACTGATGTGTTCAGTAAATATCGATGGAAAAAACCTTTAAAGGATAAGAAAGGTGAAAATGTAACTTAAAAGACCATCTTCAAAGGTAGATAACCACAATATATATGGGTTGATAAGGGTAAGGAGTTCTATAATAAACATCTCAAAGGGTTATTAGACAAACATAACACAACATATTCAACAGAAAATGAAGAAAAATCCACTGCTGTTGAAAGATGGAATAGAACAATACAACAGAGAATGTGGAAACAGTTTACAATTCAAGGTAATACTCAGTATTTAGACATACTACCTGAAAAATTGAAACAGTATCATGACAATAAAACATTCTAGCATCAAAATGACACCAGTAGAAGCAAGTAAAAAGAAGAATGAAGGAACTGTTTACTTCAATCCTTATGGTGATATGAAACCATTATCATCCAAACTGAAATTCCAAGCAGGTGATAAGGTTCAAATATCTAAATACAAGGGAAAGACATTTGATAAAGGATACATTCCAAACTGGACTGGAGAGGTATTTACAGTAGAAAAAATCCAAAATACTGATCCCATCACTTACAAAATAAAAGACTTAAATGGTGAGGAAATTAAAAGAAGTTTCTATACGGAAGAAATGTCAAGGGCAAAACAAGCCTTGTTCACAATTGATAAAGTGATTTGGAGAGATTACAAAAAGAAACAAGCTCTTGTGAAGTGGAAGGGATAAAGTGATGATTTCAATCGCTGGATACCAATGAAGGAGTTTAAAAATATATAAACACATGCAGATGGAACCTTAGCAACATTTAAACGCACAAAAAATATATAATAATGGAGTACAATTCATATATATGTACGGATTGGAAAAACAACAAAAGAGAAAGAGAAGTGGACAGATAGAATATACAACTGACGAAGAAAGAAAAGACACTTTCCAAAGATCCTTGACAACATATATGCTCAACAAAGAGTTGTATTGTGATGTTTGTAAAAACGGTAATAATTATTTGTTGGCTGGCAAATAGAAGTATATAAAAGGCAAGAAGCATCAACACAACATCAGTGATTAAACACTTTTTTGACTTTGAATTATCCACAAACCGGTTATTTTCAACTTATTTAAATGCATTGTTCGTAGATACATAAAGATAACAATATAAAGGTGTAGTACAATGAAGATAAATGAAAAATATAATAATATGTCTATGATTAAGGCTGACCTCAGAAAGCTCAGTAAATCACAACTTATCAAACTGTTGTTAAAACAGAATGCAGAATCAACTCCAAAACCAAGCTTTAAACAGATGGTGAAGTAGAGCGATATAGTAATCACAGATGATAAACCAGTTTCTAAACAAAAAACATAAGACCAATCCCAAAACCACGAAAAAATGTCATACAGATGGTGCAGGATTATGAAGATATTATCATCCACCACTTGAGTTCAGAGATGGGTGGAAACCAACCCCAATGCCAAGAACAAAAAAGATGATTATACCAGTTCCAATGCCAAGGACAAAAATAGAGGAGAAAGTAAAGCTCTCAAAGGATCAAATAATCTGAAATTGGTGTGAGAGACAATAAAGGTCCATTAAAATAAAATACAGAAACAAGAAAAGCTATTCAATACAGACTCACTAAACAGATGAATGAAATGAAAGGTAAGAAATTTGTTGAGACTCTGAGTTTCACATTTGAAAAGATGACACAAGATGGTACAATTAATAAAACAGCAACAGTGCGCCCAAAACAGTAATCAATACTGGAGATCGTGAAGACGATCTGATGTTTTCAAGTCAAAAGATTCAAAATAAGATTGCAACTTCAATATCAGAAGGTTCTGGTTGGATAACCAAATCATTGGATAAACATTGTTCAATACAACCCTCTGAAAAATAACGTGAACAAAAGCCGTCACTACTGTATAACATTTTGTATGTAGAGTCACTAATCTTATCAGCTTTTTTCAAATCAAGCAACATTTTGTTTAACTTTCTTTGAGTTTCACTTGTAGCATCAGAGTTTAAGACTGCATACATACTCTTGTCATTAAGCAGAGACAAAGCTTTGTTTTATCACCACTAATTGGCATTACCACCAGCGCCTTTGTTTGGAAGCTTGGCATATTAACTCTGCCCATGCTCCTTTAAATTGTGATGATGGTGGCTTACTTCCTGACCCCTATTTACACCTCATCAGAAAAAAGGCAGCTAGTTAGTGATCATATAAAAGGACCTCTTGTTGCAGTGTTTAGATCACCCCTGATGAAGGCACTAGACAGGAGTGTTCGGAAACATTGGGTCTATGAATTGTAACTTCTTCAGTAACATTCAGTAAATCTATAAACCAGAGTAGCATCCAACCATGTCTAACATAGGAAACATTTCTGTATGTGCTGTTGATGATGATTAAACAGTGAAGAGATACTTAACAGACTCAAAATTGACTGTATCATGATAAATGAAAGCAAGCAATAAAAATACCTGAAAAAGGCAGCAAGACATTGAAATTCAATAGTTTTCACAAACAATTGCCTGTACCTTTCGTCAGCTATGCAGATTTTGAAGCGATAACAGAGAAGATTCACACATGCATACCAGACAATAATGAATCATACACAGAAGCATACCAGAAAAATACAGATTGTGGATATGGTTACAAAGTTGTGTGTTGTTATGATGATAGATGCAGCAAGCCAGTTCAAACATATAGAGGAGAAAATGCTGTCTTTAGATTCATTGAAAATATGATTTGAAGAAGTAGACTGTTGTAAAGAAATAACAAGAAAGTATTTTAATAAACCACTGAAAATGTCTGGTAAAGATGAACAAATATTCAACAAGGCTAAGGAATGTCATATTTGTGGAAGATCATACAAGCAGAAAGATATCACCATAAGAGACCACTGTCACATCACAGGCAAGTACAGGGGATCAGCTCATCAAGATTGTAATTTCAATCACTTTAGATTAAAAGTTGATAAAATCAAGATACCAGTTATCTTCCAAAATCTGTGAGGTCATGAGAGTCATTTTATTATGCAAGTGATTGGTGAAAGAGCCAAAAACACACATATAAGAATAAAAAAGGTGAAGATGAACAGATGGACATCAATGCTATTCCAAACAACATGGAAAAATACATGGCTTTAATGTTGGGCAAGCATTTGATTTTTCTTGATAGTTTCCAATTCATGAGCTCAAGTCTTGACAGATTAGCAAACAATTTACCTGATAAAGAATACAAATACACATCAGAAGTCTTCAAAGATGGGCAATTCAAAATCATGCAACATATTACATGGACAGCTTTAATAAGTTTGATGAAAAACTATCAGGAAAAAATGAATTTTACAGTATTCTTCAAGATGTGCACATATCTGATGATCAATACAAACAAATGTACTTAAAATGTGTGGCAGACATTTAATCTCAAGACAATGGGTCAGTATCATGATCTGTATCTTAGATCAGATATTCTTTTGCTTACTGATGTATTTGAGAATTTCAGAAAGACCTGTCTAGTATATTATCATCTTGATCCATACCATTATTTTTCAAGTCCTGGAATGTCTTGGGATGCTATGTTGAAAATGACCAATATAAAATTAGAACTGATGACAGAAATTGATATATTTCAATACATTGAAAAAGGATGTATGGTGGCATCTCATATATTTCTATTAGATATGGAAAAGCAAACAATAAATACATAAAAAACTATAATGACAAAGAACCATCAAAGTATATTATGTATCTCGATACTAATAATCTATATGGTTGGGCTATGAGTCAGTATCTTCCAACTGGTGGTTTTAAATGGTTGAGTGAAAAAGGGTATTGATAAAGTCAATTTGGCTGAATACACACAACAAAGTGAAGAAGGTTTAATATTTGAGGTTGATCTTAAGTAACCAATAGAAATTACATGATAGTCACAATGACTACTCACTTCCCACTGAAAAATCTGTGTTCCTGAAGATATGCTATCAAATTATTGTGAACAAATATAAAATACAAGCATCAGACAGGTTAAAAATGTTGTTTCAAAAAAATATGTACTTCATTACAGAAACCTTAAATTGTATCTTGATTTTAAATTAAAGCTAAAGAAGGTTCATAGAGTTTTACAATTAAATCAGTCTGTTTGGTTTCAAAACGATGGAAAACATTCACAAAGGAGTAGACATCAAACTCATAACTAATGAAAAAATTGTTGAAATATAGTTCAAAACCAACATTTGTAAGCAGTACAATTTTTAATGGCAATCTTGTAGCTCTTCATAAGATTAAAGAATCAATCGCTCTGAAAACACCAGTTATTGTAAGGGTTATTTTTTGGCTGAGTGAGTTAGGATGGGGCACTTTGTGTACCTAATGTTTCATTTTGTGACAGAAAAAGAGCATAACCCTTATAATATCGCATTACTTCACCTTAAGAGTAAAAAAAAAAAACCTAATTTACCAGTATCTGAACTAACACAGGTATTTTGTGGTCTATTATCTAAATACTTCTAAGCAAAAACAAAATGCCTCAGTGCCAAACTTACTTGGCCTGAAACTTACTGATGTCTCCCATTACAGCAGTTGTTTGGTCTTGTCACACAACACCATATATTCCCCGTTGAGGAGAGAGCACTTTGCGTGATGAGACCTAATAACGGTTGCAGAAGAGACTTTGCTTACTGCTGTTCCTCTGACAGAGAGAAAATCAAAATTATTTGTCTACGGTTAATTGCCTGAAAAATATAATTCCACGTAATTTTACCATGAAAAGCAAACTGAAACTCTGTTGTGTCTCCATTAGACATAACCTAAGATATACTATGATCTTGAATAAGTGAAGATACATTTAACATGAGAAAAGGATAATGATTCAGAGAGGGCTCCTTGACTGGTTGTTAACTATCTGGACTTTGCCCTGTATGTGAAATACATGATAAAGTGCATACAAGGAACTAACACGCAATTGGATTAAGTCCAAGGTCACTGAAAGCCAATTTTATATGAAGAAAAACTCAAAATGTAGGAGAACTACGTGAAAAATTCACTATCAGTAGCATTAAGTTCCATGTTAATTTTTTTCAGGGGATTGGACAATGCAGTCAGAATACGTGATTAAATGCAAGTTGTTTACAGGGAAATGACACAATGGAGCGAAGTCTTCTTTTGGCAAAACAGAATTTGATCAGTGGAATACAATTCAAGCTCATGGAAATTGCCTAATGTTCATGTAGTGCAATGATTGTATATGTTCTCATTGGACTTTGGACGTTGTTTTCATGCTATGTGATAGAATGTGAGTTGTTTGGTGTTTAAGTTGTTATTAAAGGAGCGGAAAAAACATTTTTTAACTTAAAAATGATACAAATGATGCAACCCCTGATAAATCTCGACCGTAATCGACAAGGCTCTTGCAAAGGCCACAAACAATTCCACTTATCAGACACTTGCTGATTGGTCGAAAAATCATGCGACTATCAGATGACCTCAAAATGATAGCAATGCTGTACTCATTTACTCACAAAAAGTCCCTGTTGGATTACATCATTAACTTCCTGTTTTTCTGAGAATGTCACGCAATGGTAAGTGAGCAAAATTAAAATAGGAAGTATTTCTGAACTAACAAACTTTATGCTTTATAGAGATGCCGCAAAGCTCCACAATTTGCTGAATACATCTGTTTCTGAGGTCACCAAATGGGCCAATGCCAACAAGCTACCACTTGACATAGATAAGATGAAAATGTTGATTGTTACTGATGAGAAACATTTGAGCTCGAAGATGGGTGGAAACGTGTTATTCATTTTAGTTATAATTAACAGCATGGATTCACATTATTATGTCCCAAATGCCCAGAGCTGATTTCATGTACGGTGCATCAGACAGATGCTGATTGGTCGAAAAAACCATGCGACTATCATATGACCTCAAAACGATGGCAATGCTATACTCATGTTAATAAAGGGGGTAAGTAATTGAAGAAACTGTGGTGCTGCGTCGGTGGGAGAGTATAACAGGTAATTTAGTGTTAACAACTGAGTTGAAAACGTAAATTAGCCACCGTAAAGGGCAAAAAAGCTGACGTTTCGAGCGTTAGCCCTTTGTCAGAGTGTTCGCCCTTCGTCAATCGCTCTGAAGAAGGGCTGGCGCTCAAAAAACGTGAGCTTTTTTACCCTTTACAGTGGCTAATTTTTGTTTTCAACTCAGCCGTTACCACCAAATTACCTGCTATACTCATGTTGCCTATCTGGACTTTGCCCTGTGTGTGAAATACGTGATAAAGTGCATACAAGGAACTAACACGCGATTGGATCAAGTCCAGGGAAGTAAAATATATAGAGAATAGGTAACTCGTCGACGTGGCACACTGAGAAGAGTCGACTTCACTGCCTTCCTTAATTTCTCTACTCTATTTATTGATATTACAACAGAGAATACTTACCCCCGTATCGCGTTGATAAAACTCGATTTTCCAGTTCCTGAGTTGCCAGTGATACCAATGTTTACTTTCTTCTTCTTCCATCTCTCCAACTGCTTCTTGAAGAAGTCATCGATACCCGACATACCATTTCTCTCTATATGATCTTTAATCTCCTCCGCGTATGTCGCCTCCCAATCGGTCATTGCCTCGGAAAGTTGGCCAAAGCTATCGATCAGTAGATAATTTCAACGCTGAAAAATCTTCGTGTTAAAATGACGACGCAGTGTCGCAGAGCAAAAACTCCTTCTGTAAATTATGGGAAACTTCATCTTCTGAAAGCACATGACATCTTAAAGTTTGATTGGTTAATTCGAAGCGACCTGCCAATCATACTAAGGAAGCTGCATGCATAATTTCAGAGATATTTCCAAGGAAAAGGTTTCTTTCTACAGCTCCGGCGCCATATTGAATTAGTAACCGCGCACACACGATAACGAGGCTGGGGTTGACCCGACGGTCCTTACAAACAGCTGATCTACTGACATTTCACGTTCTAATGCACTTTTCAATGCGATTTCTCTCTTCAAAATGGTTCTTTAATACAACGATATGGAAATTTCGTCATTAGATGACATCTAGAAACTCGAAGCAAAAGGTCCCGGGAAGATTTTAAAATCTAATTCAAAATCGACGGGCGGAATTAGAGCCGACTTAGTGTCGAAAGTTTATGCTTTGCTGATGCGACACGTCCTTCCATCGAGTAGTGGAGAAAACCGAGATCTTCTTACAGATGTCCAGGACTTAGAACAAAACCAGAGCGACTTCAAATGCGAAGCAACTATGTTAATGATTTCAGCCTTTGGATGGTCGAGCGATCTCCGTAATTTACCTGAGATGAACTTTATTCAGCTTTACGATTACTCCGTCGTTTCACGAGAATATCGCCACATCGTGTTGAAAGGAACGCATTTCGGGAAGTACCCCAGAAACTGCTCAGTATGACTTAGAAAGTGAGGCAAAGGCTGTAGCCCTCAAGGTAGAGGAGACTTGTTATTGCTGCTGTTGTTAATGTGGTACTTGTTGTTGTACCATATTCTTCAGTTATGGGGGGCCGTCACCACCAAAAATACAAGGATGTCAAATAGATCAGCAAATACAAAGCTTGTTTAAGGATCAGCTGCAGGATAGAATAGCTAATAAAGGAATGGCATGGCCAAATTATAGACGGTTTAGTTTTCCTTCATGAAACAGAATACCCTAAGCCTTCATGTACAATTGAGCGTTGTCAAGCAATTTAAGTTGTTGAAGGCCATCGCTGTCGAAAAATGGGTGACTTAAGGGAGCCGATTACGCGGAGATATCTAACGCCTATACCCCGCGAACCAAAGCCATCGGCCTATCATTCTGTTTTTGCCTTGCCCAAATGCATATGCATGTTTATTAACATTTGTAGCCTCTCTAAAACCAAGAATAAAGCTAAAGCTGTTGTTGCGCTTGAGGCTGATATGTGTCCCAATGATGTCAATGTGCGTGTGGTAACGGAAACGCACCTCAAACGAGCACAACCGGACGCCATAGTAAACATCGCAAATTATTCTACCTTTAGAAGAGACAGAAACTGGTCAAGAAGGGATATGAGGAATAATGGTGGTATTGCTATTTATATACGAAACAATTTTACAGTGGTTAATGTGTATTGCTCAACCTTGTATGAAGTCATCTGCAGAAACTTGCGTTTCTCACCCGGACATCGCTCATTAGCGTGCGGAATGTAAACACAGCCACGGGGAAACCAATATTGTTGATATTGGATGAACACCCGCAAACTGTTGTTATATGTGGCGGCGATTTGAATAAACTGAACATCGGTCGATTAGAAGAATTGACAGGCTGGAATGCGATATGGTGGATTTTCCGGCAAGAGGCCTTTCATGCTTAGATATTTGTTTCTCAAATCGCACTGACCTTTGCGGAAAATGCTCAGTCCTTATCACATGCTATGGGCGCCGCCCATAACATGCTGACAAAAACCGATTCCTGTGGTGTGATTTTACCAGCTGGCAGAAAGCTTCGTCTCAGCCGACACAAAGTTCAGACCCGATATCAGAGAGAGCACAGAAAGTGCGATTTACACTTGGCATTGGCAGAGGAAGACTGGGGAGATGTTTATCGGATGTTGACCAAGCAATGGTTCTATCGCTCGACCACGCCTCTCTCGAGGAGCTGAATGATTATTTTGGCGAATTGTGTTCGGAGAACACCTACATGGCACCCACGCCAATAGAACTTGGTGAAGATCATGTGATACCAGAAATCACCAAGCGGCAGGCGTGGAACTCCCTTCAAAAAGTAAGTAAGACAGCTACTGGTCTTGACCGTATTCCGTATACTGTGCGGAAGGACCACGCCGAACTCCTCGCCCCAGTCATTGCCATGGTTTGGAATCTTTCTCTCAAGACTCACACATGGCCTTGATCTTGAAAAAAGTCAAATGTCATCCCCCTACCAAAAGTGGATATACTAAAGGAGAAAACAGATTATCAGGGAAAAAACGTTACTTCCGTTATTGCGAGGGCTTTTGACTGAGAAGGTCATGTTAAGGGTTCATGCTAGAGATACAATGGAAGAACACTTAGGTGCAAGTCAATTTTTGTCTAGGGAAGGGGGTAGCTGTACGAACGCACTCCTCTCAATCCAGTTTAAGGTTAATAATTATCTTGATACCCAAGAATGCGGGGCAGACAGCTAACAAATGTCTTTTTACAATTAGATCGTTAAGGAAGGAGAGTTATTCTCAGGCAGAATTAGACTATCTGTCTCAAAGTCTAGTTGTTCCTAATTTGACCTATAGTCTATCGGTCTACGGCAGAGCTTACGACTGTACGGTGTTTCCTGGACTAATGTCACAAGCGGAGATAAATATCTAAGGCGGTTAACAACTATGATCTAATAGAAAATAGGATAGGAAAATATTCAACAAAGTAAAACATCAAAGAGAAACACCCACTGAGAAACCTTATGCCTAAACTGAAGGTCACAGAGTACAATCTAAGACACAAATCTAGTCACCCGCTAAATAAAACTCGGATCGAGTGAAGTATCCGGAAAGTTCCGGGTTGGTCATTAATCTGTACTGTACGTCTGACCAAAAAGTTGCCTTCTTTGTTAGCTTAGCCTTCATCAACGGCGTGTTTGGAATTTAACTGCCGACTCCGAAAAGGTTAGAAGGTCTCAATTCCGGCCAAAAGATGCAGCAACATGTCGTCAATCGGCAACAATCATCAGTCAAGTAAATCTAAGGTAGAATTATTTGGGCATATAGGAGCCAAGAGCGTACTTCTTTTTTCTGTTAAAGATACCTGGCGTGACATTTGAAGAATCAACCATCGAAAGCAAGGATCAAAATAAAAAAATATATACTCTACCGGAAACTATTTACAAGGTATAGTAAGCTAGGCATGTTTAAAGTTCTCCCTTTTTTTTTGTTCTTTTATGGCGACCCCCCCCCTTTCTACTCCAGAATGCTTGCAGACGCGATTCTTCGATCTGAACTCACGCGTGGCTGCAGAATTTGATATTTATTTGAATTTTCTCTTTTGATTCTTTTACCCAATGGCACCATTGTGCTCTTATCTTAAACATGAAAATTTTTCTTTCTCTATCAACTTGATCCTTCTTGTGAGAGGCTTGCCAATGGGAACGGAAAGGTAGAGTCTAGCGACAACGCCCACATAATTAATATAATGAAATTTCCGAATTCTTTTTTAAAAAACTAGTGTTTGATAAAAAAGTTGTGCTCATTTTTAATTAACAATTCTTCGAACTGATGTAGTGCATGACTTATTTTTAAAATTTTTTTTTTTTTTGATCTCCGATGACGCTTAAAGTGCAAGTAAACCCAACCGACATTTGAAAGATTTCAAATATTTCAAACTTCCAGGTTTGTCACGTGATCAACAAACCATCTGTTTCGTTGTTGATTTGGAGTCTGGGCCGACTTTCAGAACAAGGGGCGTTCGCCATATATTTGCAAGTATTGGAAGTGTATTGGTGAACAAATACTTGCTGAAGTTCTACTCCGCCATGGGAAACTGTCATACTGTTGGACCAAATGAAGCCTTAGTTCGTTCAGGTAAAGTTATTTTTGCATGATTTCTTTCTGCGTCATGGCGAACGATGCGTGACAAGTGAAGGTTGTAACCAACAAATATTGATCTCAATTCGTACTCTTTTTGAGCTACAATTTTAGTATTTTCCAGCAAAAATCACGGATACTTAATGATTATTTAGGTATTGGAATCCGGTACGAGATTATAAATAATTATTCTGTGGAAGATAGAAGTGCCTCTGACTCTGTGTAACTTCACTCCAATCGTGATACAAACAAGGATATTCCGCATTCTAATCATGTTGCATACAACTCATGATTTTCAGGTGGCTGTTGTGGTAATGATGCAAAGAAAACCGTTATTGGGGGTTGGGTATGGGCTTGGTGGCTTGTCACAGACGTTCAGTCGTAAGTATGAGTAAAAATTGGTCTAGTTTTGAGATCAGAGCGTGTGATCTTCTCTCCTATAGATAATTGTCTTCCCGTTGAAAACAGGTGCCAAGCATTATGCGAAATATACTGCACTTGGACAGTTTCTGACAAAGCAGAATGGTTATATCGGAATTGGATGATCCAGAAATCATGTAGAAATAAAACTTACAAAGCTTTACTTGGCTTCTGTAAAACTATACCTCTTATACCTATGTTTGTGTACAAAATGTCACCGGCTCTTTGTCTGGATTTTAATTTTTTGCTGACTTTTCGTTTTGCTTTCACTTAATGTCATCGCTTTCAAAAGCGTTGAAATTTCCGATAGAAATATTTGTATTAACTTATTTAGTGGAAAATGGAAATTTCATGTTTTTGATTTAAATGTAATATTTGTTACCTATGACTACTATTCACGGTCTTACGATCGTGCTAAAAATAGTCTTCATATTTGTAAATCTGTTTATATCGTGACCTGATAAAATGTTCCCCTCTCTTATTAACTTCTTTACGCGTTTCAGTCATGTATTTTAGGTAAATATCTTGTCCAGAATTATTTTTCACCGATTTTGAATTTTTGTTTTAAAATCCCTACTAAAGAAATATAATTTGATTCTTGGTTACCATAAGTTTATTTTGAATGATTTTGGATATTGTTTGAGGCAGAGTCATATCTGCAATGTTAACTTGTTATCAAAGTATTAAAAGTACAATTTAGAATAACTAGCTTGGTGCAAGAAAATCTTCCGAAGACTTTAAAAGAAATTTGTGACTATCTAGTGCCTTTCAACTTTTTGTAAAGTGGTAGAAAATTATGGCTAAACAGCCTTCAAAAACTTGTAGCTCAAAAGTTGTTGGATGATTTTAGATTTTGTCAGTTTTTTTTAACAGTGATTTTCTTTAATAGCATAACATTGGAGGTGATGACTCTCAACCCAAGATGTGAAAAGGTGGAGACAGCGCAGGGTGTTGCTGTGACTGTGACAGGTGTTGCTCAAGTAAAAGTCATGACAGAACCCGAACTTCTCAAGACAGCCTGTGAACAGTTTCTGGGAAGAACAACCAGCCAAATTGAAAACATTATCCTTCAAACACTGGAGGGACATCTCCGAGCCATTCTTGGTACTTTGTCTGTGGAGGAGATTTACAAAGGTATGAGGCCAAATTTTTTTTACTGACAGAGTGTAAACTTGGTCTTTCCTTAGGTCTGATTAAGAGACCTTGAAGTGGTTACAGAAAATCTTGGGGTGTTACAGTGATGTATTGTGCTGTGTATCGTTTAGGTTTAGAGTATTTCAAGGATGATCTCTCTTTCAAATTAATTACCCTCAGACTTTCAGACATTACAATGTGTCACACTGTAGTTACATCTACCAAAGATACAGATGATGAAAATACAGAGAAAAAATATTATTATGGGATATAGCCTTGATACATTGTCAAATTCTCAAAGCTAAGGTACAAGCTGTGTATGGCAACCAGTAAGGAGATCTTGTAGTCAGATCTTAGGATTGAAAGGACTGTTGACATCAATTATAGCCTGTTGTTGATGTCACTCTTTTTTTTATAATTTTTTTTAAAAGATCGTGAAGCATTTGCTGCCCTGGTACGTGAAGTGGCTTCTCCTGATGTAGGAAGGATGGGCATTGAAATCCTCAGCTTCACCATCAAGGACATTGAGGATCATGTTGATTATCTAGACTCATTGGGTAAAACTCAGACAGCCAAAGTGAAGAGGGATGCAGATATAGGAGTGGCTGAATCAAACAGGGATGCAGGAATAAGAGTATGTATTTTACAAATGAAAATTCAACCTACAAGGCACAAAGACTGTTGAAGATTTGTTTGTTTGCCCTTTTGCCATGTTATAATTTGTTGTATATGTGTGTGTCAATGCGATCATATTTAACCCTTTTACTACCAGGGGTGATCAACAAGGAATTTCTCTTTATTATGTCCTTACATTTTAAAGCAGAGAGGTAATGAGAAGAAGGAAAATTTTGCATTGTGTGAGTAAAGATCAAGCTCTCAGAACTAGAATTATAAGCAAGATTTGGGAGAGGGTACACTGAATTGATTTTAAGATTGTGGGAGTGAAAGTGTTTAGAAATGGTTTGATTAGCAAGTCTTGGAAGTACTTTTAAATATGTGGTTTGATATAAATAAATAATAACTTATAACTCTTTTGCACAAGGATTAATTCATGGTTAAATTGAATGATTTCTTGAGTTTACAATCCAAATGGCTTTAATTTTCTGGTGACAACAATCCAAAACTTTCTCAAATATAGAACTTTAATGTAAAATTGTTTATTTTTTTATCAGGAAGCAGAGTGCGAGAAAGAAAAGATGGATGTAGCTTACCAAGCCCAAACAAATATTGCAGACTCTTCAAGAGAATTTCAGATGCAGAAAGCTGCCTTTGACCAGGAAGTAAATGCCAGAAAAGCTGAAGCAGAACTTTCCTACGAATTGCAGGTAAATTTATACTTTTCTTACCTTTGCATGTTCCAGTTGTTTAGTGAGTTATCAGTTGCACCAAAATATTGTTGATAAAAAGGCTGGGATTGATTAGAGGAATGGAGGAAACAAGATAGAATCATTATTGTATATTCATTGCCCATATATCTCCTTAACTCCTGCGAGTGACTGGGACAGAATTTCTCTTAACAATATGAATGCAATGTCAAGCAGTCATGTGATGAGAGTAAGGGAAAATATCAATTAGGAGATTGCTACATTCCTTGAAATAACATTATTAGAGTAGTAAGGCAAATAGTCAGGAGAATTATTTGAGAGACCTTGGAAGTGAGAGGGTTGGGATCACTCAGAGGGACCCACAATTCAGATTTGGATTTTATTGCACCAATTGTAAATGGGTCAATTTTGAAACACTAGTTGAAAATATGAGTTAAAATAAAAAAAGGATCTGAGGTTAAATTTTTTTTTTTTTTTTTAACTTTGTGTTGTATCAAGGCTGCCAAGGAAAAGCAGAAGATCCGAGCTGAAGAAATTCAGATTGATGTTGTGGAGAGAAAGAAGCAAATTGAAGTTGAAGAGAAGGAAGTGGCCAGAAAAGACAAAGAATTAGTTGCTACTGTCAAACGACCAGCTGAAGCTGAGAGTTACAGAGTGGAAACAATTGCACAAGGAAAAAGGTGCTCATGTTATTTATTCAAATGTATTCTGTTTTGTTTTCTGATATTTTTATGGTTTGAATTTATTGGAACTTTTGAGTTACAGGTCTCATTACTGATACATCAGACAACCTTATAGTTTTTGTAATACTGGAAGAAAATCCCTTAAAGGGATACACTGGATTTTCTAAGTGGTTTCAAGTGCTAATGCTGTCTACCAATCAATTTTGTTGTAGGACACAGACTGTATTTTCAGCGCAAGCAGATGCAGAGAGGATTAAGGTAACAAAACTTTTGTTATGTTAAAATGCTTACTCATAAACTCAGAATACCATAAACGTGAAAAAAAATTGTAGAAGCAATGTGGTGAACCTGAACTGCAAACAGCAGTGGTAATGAGCTTGCAGTTTTTTGGTTTGTTTGTTTTCCCTGAATTTTTATTGCAATTATACACAATCAACCTTTTTGAATGAAATAAGAAAGTTTACAGTTTTCCGAGTCTTACAGGAAACTTGCTTTGCATGTAAGCAAACTTGATGGTCTTGCGGCACAATCCTGTTTACAGTTTGTCCACACTATTGGCTAATGCTAATGTCAAATGACAAGCCCTTGTTCATATGCTCACAGAGATGGCAAAATGTTTGCCCTTCTAGATAGTATTTATTTGATAAATTGCTATGGATTCATGGAAAAAATGTAGCATTTATTTTGTAACATGATGTATCACATTGGTGATATTTTGATTGACAGATGACAGGAAGCTCAGAAGCGTCTGCTATTGAAGCTGTTGGTAAAGCTGAGGCAGAGGGTATGAGACAAAAGGCTGCAGCATACAAAATGTATGGAGATGCTGCCTTAACTGCATTGGTCTTGGAGGCTTTGCCAAAGGTAACACCAGCCCTCTTGTTCATCAAAAGTAACTTGATATTCCTTCTTACTGTAAATTTCTGGAAAAGCATTGTGGGGTAACACCTAGTTTTTTTTTTTTTTTATCAACAATTAATTCAAAGTGAAAAGTAGATCATGGTAGGTCAGATATAATATTAGAATCAGTTGTTTCAGTGGTAACCCCTTATGATAACAAATAAAGCAAATATCTTGGCTTTAAAAAAGGACGCTTTTATTTGCAAGGTTAACTTTTTAACTTGTATTTGTAAGTGTTATTTACCCTTAAATGTGTGCCAAAGCAGCATTTCAGTTGCCCCAGGAACTACATCTTTGTTTTCTTGTTACTTGACTCTGATTTTTAGAATAAAATGCTGCTCAAATATTATTTTTTCCTCTGAAAGAGACTCTGCTCCAAGTTTGACATACCTATGTTAGCTTTTAGGGAGAAGACAGGAGGGGGGGGGGCATGCTGAGGTCAGTGTCTATTTTGAATTAATATGGCCACAGGAGGGCAAAGAGGAAGGTGTGGCTCAACTGTATTGAAAGACATCTAGGATGAAAAAAAAATTTATTTTCACATAGTTATTTTTATGTTGTGTTACAGGTTGCAGCAGAAGTTGCCGCTCCTCTGGCTAAAACCGACCAAATTGTTCTTGTTGGTGACAGTGGTTCTGGAGTCACAGGTGAAGTGTCCAAACTTGTAAGTGAGCTCCCTCCTGCTGTTCAAGCTCTCACCGGAGTGGATTTGAGTGGAGTAAGTATCATCAGCAACTGTATTACAAACTCTGAAATGGTCTTTACATGCTTTTGAAAGGAAATTCTTTAGATTTAGATGATTTGGTTAGTTTGTTCCAACACCTGTAATTTGGAACTGGTGAAAAGCAAACAAATCCTGGCCCCTGGTTGTTCAATGGGTGGATAATACTATCCACCAGATAAATCTCTAACCAGTGGATAGCCAAGTATGTTTTGTTAACACTTATCTATTGGGTAGCAATTTACCCCAGGGATAGTGCTATCCAGTCTTTGAACAACCAAGGCCAGGTCTGTGTCAGAGGGGACCAAAAAAAGGTGTTTGTGCATTGATGTTTAAAGTGTTCACTGCTATATTTGGTTTCTTAACAGTTATTTAGGTTTGCAATGTTCCAATACTGCTTAGGATTAGCCACTTGTAGTATTATTTATTGAATAATTACTTGTTTTAATATTACTTTTGTTTTAATTTTTTGCAGGTACTGAAGAAGATTCCTGGTGCAAAATAAAATGTTTTGTACTTACCTATTGCTTACTTTTAGAATAGAATAGTTCATAATTACATATAGTCTGGATTTTAACACTTGTCATACTCTTTCTTGCAATAAATCAGTTGATTAACTGTTTATTATTATTGTAATGAAAATGCTGGCAGCCTCAAGGGTTTGAATCTAGTTTCATTCTTCTTAGTTAAAGAGAGCGAAATTTGTGCATGATGTTTGGTAGTTTTGTTAGCCACATTCCTCATTCAATAAGCCCCTCACATACCCAGCATTGCTAAAAAAATTCAATTTTGTATGCATTTATAAGCATTTGGTGTAGCTACAGTGTAATAACCGTCCAAAAGCAGTTTTGCAAGCAATTGCATGGTTTTTTAATTTGTTCATTGGGAGTATAAATTCCATGTGCAGTGTACCCTAGCATGCCAGTTTCTGGAGGCTTGTAATCTCTTCATTTAACAACCTGATCTAGCCTCTTTAAAGTCTAAGACTTTGATGAAATGAATCTATGAAGGGAAGGTATATTTGACACAAAATAAAACAAGTTTATTGGTGTTTTATAATGTCTTAATACACCATAAGGAATAGACGGTTATTTAAGAGAAGTTTTTCTTCATGTTGCTTGTGGCATGTTTGCTCTCAGCAACAAAAATTTAGATGATGTTGTTGGTAATGTATTACAATTTTTATTTCAGTTGTTATCAGCAAAGTTTTTTGCAAAGTTGTAGTTCCAACCTGTGCTCACTAGTGATGACAATCACCCACAGAGGCAATACCACTAAGTAGTGATTTTGATATCTCTGCCAATTCATCATTTTCTTTGTTATCATTACAGTTGCCTTTGTCATTATTATCGTCATAATGTAGATCATTGGCATCACCGTGGTTATCTTTGCCTTAATGAGCTTGTCTTTGTTTGACTTCTAGGAGATGTTACCTAGACTGTTATTGCAGTGAAGGAAGGAACATGCTAATTTGCTTACTTGTCCATGTTGTTTCGTAATGGGCAGCTTAACATTTAGTTTTACTATCGTAAACAAGTCTGTACCCTTGCATGCAGCACAAAGCTGTATTCCTATAGATATATCATTTTATGAACTAAAGCAAGAGGTAGTGCTTTTAACTAATGCTGAATTTTCAAAATAAGCACTACCCCTTAAGCATAGGTTCTTATCTTATCAGAACATTTGAGCAATGATAAATAATTGTTGAACTATTTAACTTAGCTTGTCAGTTTCATGACGTATACTATTGTGGCAAGTATTTTGGTGGAGCCAAATATATTCACATACTGTGTATTAAATATTTTTGTTTGTGTGTGTGATATATGACCAGTGGGAGGAAATGCTGGGATTTTACTTGCTACACTTGCTTAGAATTTGTCTTGTGATGAAATGCACAAGAACATCCAAACAAATCAGTCCAGTCCATTTTTTTCAGGTCTTATTTCAACTACTAGTTCAATAGTGTTCTTAGCTACAAGGATCTTGTATATTTGTTTCTTCACCGCAGTGCACATATATGAATTTCATATATCTAAAATCATTATTCATCACTTGGATGATGTATTTGGACCCAACATATTGACCAGCTCCGAGTTGGCATGTTAGGTCAGTTGGTAGAGCAGTGCACCAGTATCGCAGAGGTCATGGGTTCAAATCCAGTATGGACCCGAATTTTTTTCAGGTCTTATTTCAACTACTAGTTCAGTAGTATTCTTAGCTGTGAGGATCTCGTATATTTGTTACTTCACTGCAGTACACATGTATGAATTTGATATATCTAAAATCATTTTTCATCACTTGGATGGTTTATTTAGACCCAACATATGGACCAGCTCCTAGTTGGTTTGTTAGCTCAGTTGGTAGAGCGCTGCACCGGTATCACAGAGGTCATGGGTTCAAATCCTGTACAGGCCTTAATTTTTTTCAAGTCTTATTTCAGCTACTAGTTCAGTAGTGTTTGTAGGTGCGAGGATCTCACATTCATTTCTTCACCGCCGTGCACACGTATGAATTTCATATATCTAAAATCATTATAAATCAGTCCACATTCTCTTTTTGACACCTTCCTTGCGCATGGAACACTTTCACCCTTTTCTTTATTGGGAATTCTCCTTGCTGACTGTTATACAATTCTTGTGATGTTAGTCAAGAGAGTTTGGTATTGGATTAACCAATTGTCCTAGAATTGATCTTTGTCTTTATTCCCATCACTTGTATGTTTTATTTCACATTAATATCTTGAGGAGAAATTCTGTCTTGATTGCCAATGGTCAATGGTTTAGTAATGGGTTTCCTATGCAGGTTGCTGATCAACAGCACTCTCAAAGGCAAAAGTAGCAGAAACATGGGGGACAGGGTGGGGACCTGCCTTCTTTTGTTTTGAAATTATTTACCTAATGACTTTTTACCTTGGACATTTTGTTATTTTGTGCAGTTGAAAGATGTTATGCCACTTAATTGTTCCTTTTGCTCTATTTGAGAGGTGTATGATGTCACTTTGGCAGATAGATTTCATCTCATAAGTGTAGTGAAGAGTGGTTATAAAGGGAAAAAATGCTGTAGTTCTGAGAAGCAAAAATAGTTAAAAGTACATTTTTTCTTTGTGGCAATGCTTTATTAGCTTGGCATGTTTTAGAACTAGAAGATCTAAATTATGTACCAGTTTCAGTCTATCTTTTCATAATGAAAATACATTATAAAATTTACATATTTACATATAAAATTTACATCTAAGAAATTACCACAGCCACACTTATTTGGGAAAATGAAAAAAAAAATGCTGTAAATACCTAAAAAAAATTAAAACTTCATTTAGGCAGCATTTCAGATCCTTAGATAAGTGAGAATCAGTGTCAATCTTTCATGTCGACTTCTTGGACCTGCAAGCTTTCTGGGCTCCTGCTTTGAGAGCTAAACTTACTTTAATTATTAATTACAATGATTTAATAAATTAAAGAAGTAAGGTAAGCAAGTTTGGACGACTTTGCACAAAGTGTTCTTTCGCAAATGGATTTGGTATAGATGAATTGAATGTGGAGTTATCCTACATTTTGTATTCTGGTGTCCCCTATGAGTATCTAAAGGGAGTGAAATAGTTTTAAAGAGGAGAGAGAAGAGTAGCCTGGCATCACACTTATGGTGAAAAGAATGCTGTACACCTCTAATGCTGGTGTAACTCAGGACTTGAGTTAAACACCTCTATAATAGTTCAGTTTCCTCAAGAAGAGGGAACTATGTTTTAATAAAGAGGCTCTACAACACAAAGGTTAATAACAAGCTGCTGTGTGGAAAATGATCCCATGCTTCTTTTCTTAGATTCAAAGAACAGTCTCTGACACAGTGAAAATCAAGCCTAATATTACACACAGAGTTAAAGCATCTTTTAATAGTTAAACTTATAGCCAGCCAAGCCAACTGCAAGAATGCATAAACTGAGAAAGATTTTCTAGTTATCTTGGATAGTTTGGATATGATTGTGGTTGAAATTGCTGTTGCTGCATTTGAAGCTGTTGTAGTTGTTGTTGTTGTTGTTGTATCTGTTGTTGCTGTTGCATCATCTGTTGCTGTTGCTGACTCTCACCCCCCAGATCTATTGAAAAGCAAATGCAATTGATAGAATTGCACTCTGGTAGGGCACAGTTACAAGCACAATTGCAATCACCACACTGCAAGACAAAAAAATGCAAATAAACTTGTTAGCACAGAGCTTGCTGTTTGCAACAAAATAATTGTGTGATTATGAATGTAATAACATACAGCGCACTGTGGTCCTTGGCAGTCCTGACACAGTTCACCACCAGGCTCAGCATTCATACAGCAACAGAATGTGTTATCACACCACTAAAAGGAAAACAAAAAAATCACTCAAAGTAAAAAATGGATCAGTCACTGAAAATCTTTACCCACAACTTCCTGATGTCTAAATTTATACCTAAATATCATGATATTTTCCTGAGCTTTGGGAGGAAGTACTCTGTTTTGAATTTCACAGCGAGTAATTAGAGCTAGCATTGATGGTAATAGATTTAATTTTAATTGTGTCAACTATACAGAAATTTAGATGGTGAGGAATGACTTTACTGACCTGTTTTGAAGGACACACACTGTCTAAACAAGACTTTTTACTTGGGGTAGAACAATCACACATTTCTGCCATTCCCACAAAGCAGGCACAAAGGCAGCATCTCTCTGCATCGTTGTCATTTGCACAACATCCACAGCACAGCTCTGATATCCACGTTGGGCAGATACTTATTCCTTGAGACTGTTCATTGAAAAATAAAGAATATATGTAAATTACAGGTAACATGAATTATGTACAATCTTCATGGTGAGAGATATAGTGACATGGTGGTTAATATACTAGGCTCCCAATTGAGAGATCCTGGTGCTAGTATCATCGGCTGGGTTACAATCAATATTTCTCTCTAGCCAAGAGTATAAATAGGCAGCAAAGAAACCTGAAAAATTCCTAAGGGAGGGAGGGAGGGGGAGGGGTCAGCCCAGTCTTTTCACACCATAAATGGAAACCAAGATAAACTTGAGCAACTTTTAGGCCAAGAGGCTCATAGGACTTTTCGACTCAGTAGCATAGAATCAGAAGGAAAATATCACAAGGAGCTGATGAAAACTTGAGGTAAAAACAAGCAAACTACCTGAACTGCCATTAAAAGCAACTGAGCTAATTGCTACTGGTTGAGTTTTGCATCTGATTAATTGAGAAAGTGGTACAAAAGTTCCAGAAAAATGACAGAGTAAAGTAACTCAAAACCAGCATGATCCCTGATTTCTTGCAAAACACAAATAAAATTACTCTACACACAGTCTAAACCCCCACTGTGGAAGGCCAAATTCCAACACCCCATTGTTGATTGTCGGCACCTCTGAAAACTGCATCAAAGGGGTTCAAAATGTTGTCACCTTCCTAGAGATAATATTCGAACAAACCCTGTCACAAATTTTGCTTTCCATGGGCAAGGGTGAGGAGGGAATGTAGATTAGAAACCCAGTGTTCCATCCACACACCCGAAATGTAATAATTCATTTGAAAGAACAGTTCTCTGAGGTCAACATTTCGACAATATTTCCGTGTAACTTCATAGCTAAAAGAAAATCGTGGGCGAAATTGAGCCTGTGCCTTTGTTTTAAATCGTACGAGTTATAAAAAAATCTGGTACTTACCTTTAAGCATTCCCTTATTACGAGGACGAGGGCGACAAGCGCTAAGTACACTCCCACAACGATCATGACAATCGCAGCAGTCGATAGCGCCGGGTCACTGTTTGCTGTAGGAGCTGGATTAGGCTGAGGACGAGACCAAGACACATTGAGGATGCTATCGTTAGATGGGTTTTCTTCTTTGGCTTTATCTAGCGGATTTGATCGGTCTACTTTGACGGAAAATGCGTTTTAAACTAACAATACGTTACATAAATATACTCGTCTATTGAACTGTGCCCGTATGATAGCACATCAAGCTCAGGTATTGCTCGATACTTTGTCTAAAACGGGACTTAAGTAAACTCACGCTCGGCAATAAAGACAATTTATGTGCAGGCCGACAAAGGAACGGCTATTATTCGACGGGATTAACCTCTCTTACCAGCAAACCAGGTTTGTTTAAATGTAAGCTAAGTCTTACACATTTTTACCGCTCAAAATTAAGTTACTGGTACAATCGCAACGAAAACACTGTCGACAAGGTTTACTTACACGGGTCGTTGGAGCCATGATAGATCTTCTATCTACTTTGTTCGTTCTCTTCACCGTTTAAGAAATAAAGTGAAGTATGAAAATCAAGCGAACCATCTTCTCCAGAACTTCTTTCTTTGCCAGTAACCGAGATCAACAAATCCTCTCCACTAAACCAAGAAAAATGTTTTGCAAACAACTCACTAAAGTGAGCAAACTGTATCAAGGCCACATCTTGCCAGTGACCATCAGACTGATGCTTGTTAACTTTCACTGTACAATTTATACTTTTTAGCCGCTTTAAGTTCCTCAGGTATAAAACAAAGTCTGAACAAAAAGAAACTTGACATTAAGCTAGACACAAAAAGATAGCAACAGTTCAATATTGAAGAGCGCTGTGAGGCCCAGTTCTCTACCTCTGCAGTGGGTTACCTCGTTTTCGCGTGAGTTACCATCTGTATGCATATTCTCCATACTGTTCTCTGTGTCTTGAAGTACTGACAAGTAGAATTTATCAATTAAGAGCTCTTTAGTTGGTGACCATTTCCCTTATTCCCTTATTATTTTCACTCTGAGATGTTATTGTAAGGAGAAGTTAGATGCTGGTCACTCTTGTCACTTTTCGGGATCAAATGCTTAACAGTGTCTAGGTTAGACTTACAAACAGGTAGTGGCCGTGTTCAGCAGGGAATTCAAAATAGAAGCAAAGGATGAAGTAACATGATTTATTGCTAAAAGGGCAAAATAAATCAATAAAATGTGCGAAAATACGCGACATATGAAATAATCCACGTGAACTGTGACTATTCAGAGAAGCCGTGATCAGTGTGCTCGTCACCCTTACGGGTTTTTCTCTGACACTTGAGGATTTCCAACCTGATCAACTGATGCCTTATTTCTGTTTCCAAGTTGTCAAAAAAATTTGGATTATGTGCGGATTTTGAGGCGAAACAATTGGATTGTGAGGTCGCAAAAGTTTAGGATATCGGACGGATAAGTCCAAAATTTAACGACTGTGCCTGGCATCGGACAGAAGTGTAGAAAGATGGTAGTGTCCAAAATAAGACAAACAGGTCCGAATTCGGACACATCCATCTGATTTTCGACACCTTTGTTCAATATTCGGACTCTGTCGTCCCATTTCGAACAATACCGTCCAATTTCGGACTCTATCGTTTCGTTTGGGACAACAGTCAAATTTCTTGCTCTACCGTCCCGTTTTAGACACAACCCTTCTGATTTCTAAAATAGTCCAAAAACAAGAGAACAACTACTTGCCCGCCTCATCAAATTCACTTTTAAAGCTACTTTTATTAAAAGTTAACTTTCTAAAAGTTACACTACAATCTATGATTCAAAGAAGGTAAAAATTTCTTAAATAAATAGATAAATAATATAAACAACTGATACAGTTGCTCGATACTACACATTTGTAAATTTGTTATCCTTTTCTACAATTAAATAAACGAAAATATCACGCACCAATGGTACAAGGTATATGAGCTACTCGAAATTTTTTAATGCTGTCAGAATCACAACTTGGCCGGCTATGTTCGCAAATACGGGAAATTGGATGTTGCCTCTTTGCCAAAATTTCAAAATTGATCATATGCATGAATTCTTGTTGAACTTTTCCGATCGTTTAAAATTTCGTAAATGGTAATCATGTCAGCATTAATTTTCTTTCGTAGTTTTGATCCAGTATGGAGCGATTGGTAGGGTATTTAAATAAATAGATAAGTAGAGAAACAAACAAATAATTCAATAAATAAATATTTACATGTATAGATGAACCTAGGAAATATATCAACGTTTTACTCTACATTACGAGACGAACGATTAAGCGTTCATTTATCTACAAAATTACGATGAACGACAACATTTTCTATACCATAAACCAAGGAAAATGTAAAAAGTATATAAATAGCTGTGGTATTTATCTGCTGAGTCTCACAGCTTTGAGTAAAAGCGATAAACTGAGCAACTCTTCACGGCCCGTTTAACTTCAGTCCGTAAAATGTTTCCACAAACTGCTGATTTACAATGTTTTATGATAAATCTTGGAATTCTGAGTTAATCAAGATACATCCACATGTCCGTTTGAATCTTTCAACGGATAGACAATTGTCACATTGTAGAAAATCTTTTTGTTTCGTGTCCAACTGTATGAATTATCAAAACGAAGAATATCTGAAAGAGAATTCAAATGATTAACCTTGGTTGAAGAAGCAACAGGAATGGTTCTGCACAAAAAAATAAAACAGATATGGGCGACCATGTCACTTGAGAAAGTTTCAATTTTCTTTGTCATCAAATTCTTCTAAAGAAGAGAAAGGCTTTAGTGTCTTTAACACATTTTAGAAAAGTAGGATTGCGTTGGTTTAGCTTTTATGCACTTTTTGATTAACTGTCATTAGACCAAAATGAAAGTAATTTGGATAAAATACCCTGAGGAACCAATACAACGAAAACTCGTGGAGAAAAAAAAAGCAAACCGCGTAAAGCGCGGGAAAACGCGGACGACCAAGTCTTGATTGGCGCTGGCTTAATGGTTGGGAGGGTGGGGGGAGTTTTTACCAATGGGTTTCCTTAGGTTTTTCTTTACTGTGCGCCACACTCTAAATGAATCAAAGCAAAATTAAACAAATTGCAACTCGGTCTCTCACAGTTTGCCGCACTTTAGGAAGTTCCTTTGTTTATATTTTGAGTTCTCAACGACTCGTTGAGATATATTCCGATTGTTCTGATTCACTATTGTGATTGCTTTGGTTTAACGACACATAGAAGGAATGCACTCCTACCAATAAGTACTCGAAGTGATACAAAAAGGAATGCCTGAAATGTTTAGACTACAAGTAGTCCTTCCTTTTCAGCGAAGTACGTTGGGCGAGTCAGAAAAAAATTCAGCGGAAAAAATTTGATTTAGCGCGCCGAAAAAGTAGGAAAACTGCTCGTACTTGATAAAGTTTTTGGTCTCATTGCCTAAAGCACTTACAAATGCCTGGTTTCTCACAGAGAAGAGAACCTTCCTCTTGAACCAAGTGACAGTTCCGTCTTTCTGTTGGAATCTGAAGAAATAAAAATTTTTTTAATCTTCTATTCCTCCTATAAGGCAGCTAACATAATTTGTTGGGAGGATACGGCATATTCATTGGGTAGAGTACTAGTAATACAGTAGCGAGGTACCACAAAAGAAATTTTTACACTCCTTCCCTCTCTTCATCGGGAGACTTTGTTTTCCTTCGTTTATTGCCCCCCCCCCCAGTATATAGAAAATACTTATGGATCTTTGAGATGTACAAACATTACCACAACACCGGGTGCTACGTTCCCCACTCGTAGCAAAAAGTGCATGGTTCTTTTAACGATGCAGGAGACAGGGCCTACGGCTTAACATCCTTATCCGAGAGACGTATCGTTTGCCAAACTCTTTGATTCTTTGTGTATTAAAGGATTTAATTTTTCTGATGGCCTTTCCTTATATCCATCATGGGACATCGTCCTCGAGCATCTGTTGGGTGCTCCAATCATCCATGTAACAGTAGGTATATTTTAAAAAACTAACACCTTAATGCATCGTTCAATACAATCAACTATAATCTGCATTTATCCTCTACAAAATTTCGTTTTGTGGCTCCTTGCGACGGCTTGGTTGAGTTAAATGAACCAAAAAAAAAAGATTCACAGTAAATTCTCACCTTTTCTTCCAAATCTTTGGAATGTTTACTGCCTTTTTCTGAATAGAAGACACCAAATCCAATGTCATGGTCCACAGACTTGTACTGCCAACTACAAGACACACAACATTAACAAAACTGTGAACCTAAAGTTTCTTTTTTCGTAAATACCGCGTGCCAAAGATGGGGAAAATGGGAAACCCGCAAAGGGGGGGAAGGGGGCACCTCGAGACAAATGATCCCTCGGGTTCCTCCCATGAAGTAGATCCCTCCATATGATATGTTCCCTCATTATTCCTTGAGAGATGAGTTCCCCTAGGGATTGATACTGTGTTATCGCTCTGACGAAGGGCTAGCACTCGAAACGTCAGCTTTTTTACCCTTTACGATAGCCAATTTACGTTTTCAACTCAGTTGTCAACACTAAATTACCTGCTATACTTTCCCACCGACACAGCACCACAGTTTCTTTAGAAACTTACCCCCTTTATTTATATGACAAGAGGGCAGGGATTAAAATAGGTACTTGAAAGGTGCATGTGGCTAGTGCTTGACTGTTAAGGATAACACTATTCATTCCCTTGCACTTTACACATTTAAATAAAATAGGCCGTTTGGTACACACTGAAATAAAGAACAAACAAGATTTCTATTCTAAAGTTATATTCTAGTTCAGAGAATCTAACTTTCTGAAATGTGCAAGGGGGGGGGGGAGTTAGGTGGGTGGGAAGGGATGGAGGATCTTGCGGTGCTATGATGCCTTCAAATGTACACCATGCATATCAATGAGTATTTTTGAAAATATCATACATTAGAAGAACAACAAATGTATCAAGAAGAGAAGGATGTTGATGAATTTACCTTACTCAACTTGGCAGAAAGATTCAATTAACAATCATATAAGTGAGAAATTATTTTAAGTATCCATGAGAAGCATACCTTAGAATACTGCCTGGTGCATCAACTTCAAAGCTTAGTTTCAGAGCAGTTCCTCGCTTGACATATCCAACTTCATACATCTGTTCATCTGTCCAGGTATCAGGTTTGTCACAATCTTTACAGTAATAAGATTCTGGTACGTCACCACCATAACATATCTAGAAACAAGCAAATTAAGAGTTAGTTAACAGAAACACTAAAGTTGATCTCTATAAAATAGCTTTTAAAATTTTAAAGAAGAAAAACTAACTCAGTTTGTAGAAACTGTGACCTCAGTAAGCTGCATGATACAACTCTCATATTTAAGGGGGGCTGAGCTAAAATAAACTCTGACAACCTGAAGTACAAACTGACAACTTTTGTGAAAAGAATAATTTAGACTCTGCAGATGGGAACCCTTGCAGGTTTTAAGATTGGAAACTTTTGGAACCTACCTTTGATCTGCACAATGGATCTCCATCAGGATCTTTGCAGGTGCCTCCATAATATTCTGGCAGATTGTCTTCATCAATATACTCCAGAAGCTCAGTTTTCCAATCTACTAAAAATTTTATCACAATTATTATTAGAATCTGCTCTGAAAATGGTTGGTTGGAGTCTGCCAGGGTCAGAAAGGCACTTGCAGACAAACAGAGAAATAGCCAGAAATAATAGATGCAGGTAGACAGACAGACTGATGAACACAGGGGAAGGCAGATAAACAAAAACAAGCTGTCCCACAAGGTGAGCCACAATTTGGTAGTAATCCCTAAAAAATATCTTAAGAATAACCTCTAACAGCCTGACTGGAGAGGAAGACATACTATCCAAAGAACTCTATGTTGGCTACTAAACATGTCCCTTGTGCTTATACAAAATAGCTATGCCTTTCCCCATATTTTAAACAAACAAATGTTGAAACTTCATACCTCCCAGTATTTTTACTTTGTTTCTTGTCACTTCATTAAGAAATGGTTTTACTAAAGCATATGCTATTGGGAATATCCTAGGTGCTGAAATAAAATGAACAAATCCTTTTAACTGCTAGAAAATTTACTTAATTACTAACAGTGTAGCACAAACCTGGAGTGGTTTTTCTAATTTGAATAAGCAATCTTACGAAGTTTCACCAGAGAACTAAATCTCAGGTTTGACCTCTTGAATGAAGTTTTCAACAAGAAATTGGCAATTGTAAAGGCTGGTTGAATAGTTGAAGAGCAGAACTATAAAGAATCTCTGTTTTACATAAAATTCACAACAAGAGAGGTGAAGAAACTTACCATTAATGACAAGAATATTCTTCATCATTTCTGGGTAGTTATCTTCATAAAATGCTGTAATCTGTGAAAGAAAGTCGTACTTCAGGGTTACTAAAGACATTTATTTACATTTGGGAAATATTTTAGAATAAATTTTCCATTCTTGTTGGTGTTCCACAGCTTAAAAATATAGGAAAATATAAAATTGTACAGTTTACGCTGCAGCACCAACACAATCTCCGAATATAAAGCTCTAAAGTTAAATACACCATTTTAGCATTTGTAACACATTTTTCAGGAGAAACAGTGCAATAATCAAGCTCTGCTGAAAAGCATCACACCTGAAATAAGGTAAAATATTAAGAACTAAGAAAATGTAAGAAAATGCAAAAATCATACTTACTTTATTGAAAAGCATGACACCTGAAATAAGGTAAAATATCAAGAACTAAGAAAATGTAAGAAAATGCAAAAATCATACTTACTTTATTGAAAAGCGTGACACCTGAAATAAGGTAAAAAATTAGGAACTTAGAAAATGCAAAAATAAAATCAAGAGAAAATAACAACTCCAGAGAGATGAGGAAGTTCTCTATATGGAATGTTTAAAAAGGAAGCACCTCACATGACCTCAGCTGATTTGTGATATGAATGAGGGCTGAATGTCTTGAATATTTTTTCACTACTGGGCTACAGAGTAGTTTCATCAAAGATATTTTTTCATGTTTGACTATCAATACTATAAATAACAATCTTGAAAATAGAACACAGCAAAAAAAAAAAACAAGACTTTTTGCATTAAGTATTAGACCTATGGAGAAGCTGTTGGGCTTTTTGGCTATCACATCTCCCACTTGTTTTTTTTTACATTTACTGCCTGAATTTTGCTCACAAACCTGGCCTCCAAAGATGCTTCAGTCCAAGTCCCTCCATGTCCATCACCATCACAACCTGATCAATGCATTTACCAAGCTAAGAGACAGACACAGAGTAAAATCAGGGTTCTTACACAATCACCAGCAAAACATTTCCACTAATTACCAACCACCTCATTTCACACAGGCTGATCACCAGAAAAGTCTTAACCTGATAAATACTAGAGGATAGACTTTTAAATTCAAACTACTCTGACTCACTGTATTAGGTTTTGATGACATAATGAACCATTTTTGGGTTTAGTTAGGGATTTTTAATGAGTATGTTCAGTTTGCTTGGATTTTTATTGGGAAAAAAGAAAGAGAAAACTATTCATACCTTGGAAGATTGTTGCCTGGATAGGAACAGTGTGTATTCAGCTAAGTAAGCTTTGAATCTGATAATTTCATTTTTCTTTACAGAAGCCAGCAACCCTGAAATAACATATTAATTAGATAATTAGGTATCTATAATGTTAGGCTGAAAGTTGAGTTTGGTAGCAAAAGAAATACTTTTTATCCAAACTGGTATTGTGTGAGTGTGAAAAAATACAGTGTACCCAAATATCTTGTTAATTTTTGTTCTTTGTTCAACCCTGATACAGATTACTGAATACAGTCATAAAATTTAATAAAATTCTAAGTAAATAACAAGAGAAAAATATACCTCTAAAGTCAATTTGTCCGATTGGATCAATGAAAACTGGAGTGCCCTCTCTATCAAAACCAAAGTGCCCTCCTGGATAATATTTTGACAATACCTGTCAAGAATAATGATTTCTATCTTGGAAAATTGAAGTCATTTAATAATGTTAGCCAAATGTCCTACCCAGCTGCAGATTATGTTGGTTTCCTTGACATGAAGCAGCTAGGAGTATTACTACTTCCCCCTTGATGGGATGCCAGTTCATCACAAGGCTACCCCCCCCAACATTTCACCAGGCTTCCCTGATACTTTGCCAGGACACTTTTAAGTCCCACTAGTGATCTGGAGAGAATTTCTCCTTACGCTATCAGTACAATATCAAGCAAACAAGTAATGAGAGTAAAGAAAATATCAATTAAGGGATTATTAGTTGATCCAATTCCAAATTCTCCAAACTAACATCATATGAATTGTATGGCAGACAGTAAGGAGAATTACTAGTGAGATCTTGGGAGTTAAAGAGTTAATACCTGTGGGTAGAGAGAAGCACCATGAGAGTCTAGTGTCTTGCCCATGAACACAACACATTGACCCTGCCAGGTCTGGAACCCAGACCTCTAAACCCGAAGTCTAGTGCACTGACCATTTGGCCTATGTGTCTCCTCACCAATGTTATCATAACAATTGTTAAAGACAGTAAGTGTATTTTGCTGAATGTACTTAAATTGAATTTAACTGACTTCTGGAACTTTGTAGGTTTCCACCAAAGTGTCAAGCTTCATCTCCCTGCGCACATTCATGCTCTGATGAAAAAAGGGCACCTGTCAATTTACTAACCTCACTAAATTATAATTTTTTATCACTTTCACTGAACAGTTAAATGTCCTAATTAAAAAAATTGAAGCGATTTGAGAACTTTCAATTTTCAGAATTAAGATACATGTAAGTGCAGATATCTATAAGCAAACCAATTTATTTCACTTAAAAAAACATCAACCTTTCTTAAGATAACTGTAAACAAATCACTTTCAATATAGGGCTGACCATTGCAAGTTGAAAGACAATTGTCACATAAGAATCTTGTTCATGGCCTTGAGATTGCCAATAAGTTCTTTTCAGATTTAATCCTTCACACACAAACATCAGTATGCATAATCTCTATACTTTGTTCCATAAATTTCCTTAAGTGCTGACAAGGAGAATTTGTTTTACAATCAAAAGCTCCTTTGGTTGGCAATCATTTCCTTTACTCCTGTGACCTTAATGTGTGATTCAGGGTGACGTTGTAGAGAGAGAAATTAAAAGTAGGTGCTGAACACACTGAGGTGTCAAAGGCTTAGAAAGTTGGCAGAACATCTGACAAGTTTCCTTTGTTCCTTACTCATTACACATGTTATACAACTTTCTTTGACAAAAATTATATCCAGAGCAAATTACAACAAAATGTATTCATCACCTCTCTCAGCATGAATTCTGCTTTTTCTACACTGAAATCTCTTGCTGTCAGTAAAAAATGACAAACAAGTATATTAAGTCTTACTGATGCAGAATGACTTGAAAACTGCAATACTAGTTTAAATCAAACAAACGATAATTTCGAAAATGAATCCTTTTTCTAAGCTTGCATTGTTTGATGTCACAGTATGCAATGATACTGTATTTTGACTATTCTGAAAAAGTTTCCAAAACTTTTCTTTACATTCTACAGATTTTAACTTGATCCTTTTAACTTTTACAAAATAGTTGTGTCTGATAACAACTTGTGAAGCATGCTTCCTGAACAATTATCACATTAAGTTTGATAAATCATCATCACCATTATCATTATTTCTATGAGAAGAACTATCACAATCTCAACATAATGGAATTGTAATGATCATCTCCAGGAACTGCGCAGCAAATTTTTGAGTGGGGGGCTTTTTTTGGCTCTGTTATTTTTGTTAAATTATTTTTTGTTTAATTTATTTTAATGATTGCATCCTCTTGGTAGATGTAGCTTTAGCTTTTTAAGAATTCTACACCTACCACGAAGCCATCTTAACAAAAAGTGATCATCATGATTTGGCTGACAAATATCGCTGACACAAACACGAAACTGGAAAATAGTTAAAAAATGAAAATGATTAGAAAGTGATTCGCTATATCAATTGCAGAAGGTAATATAAAACATGTGTCTAGGAAAAGATAACATTATTTCCTATAGTGTTTCTCTGACAGGTACAAATTTATCTGGTAAGATAATATTGACTTAAAATTAAATATTAACAAATCCTAATGATTTAAATGGCAGTTCGTGGTTGCATTTTAAACTTCTCTTAGTCCTTACAGTAGGTTCCTGTGATCCAACTGTTTGCCATTTCCAAAACTGAGTCCATTTTAAATTGACTCATGTTCTTTCAAGCAGATGGTGTCCAATCAAAAGCCAATGAAAGCTAACTTATGCAACAACAACTTGAAACTGTATCATGAATAACACTCTGTAAATGAGTAGAAAAGATTGCTGTTTCATTTTGTGTGTTCTCTGTTTAGTCCTGTCCTATTACAAAATTTTTTTTATTTGATGAGCTAAATTATACAAGCATCAATTCTTTGCCATGATCTTTTGGAGAACAGACACAGATGATGTTAGTACAAAAGCATTTTTTTATCACATAAAACAAATAGATTCCATGCTGTGGGTCTGAACAGTGATAGATCCCAAATGATCTCAAAACATGGTGGGAACATCAGGACACACTCAGCTGCACTTCAGATGCAAATTTTTGTTCTTACCACATTTTGACATCATCAGTGATCTATTACTGCTGCTGGTGCAATGGGGAATCTATTTGTTAAATTTTCTGCTGTCAGTATTTTATTGTTTTATTCTGTTATGAAGCATTACTTTCAGGTTTACAGTATCATTCTTTTTATCATTTCTTCAACTTACATATCTATATTGAGGCCCCACTAGGGGTTATGGGTATAAAGGATATTTGGGTGAAAAATTAACAGCATACAGGATACTTGAGGAAAAAAATAAACAGATTATGGGATATTCGGAATAGAGATTACAGAGTATCGCACTGGAATCATGGGAGTACAAACCACGAGAGTTAACGGTTTACAGGATATTTAGGCCATAAATTAATAGGATACGGGATGCTCCGACTTCTCAGACCTCTATACTGTAAATAAATATTCTAAATGCGCTGATCATTTATATCTGGACTGTTGAATACAGCTATAAATTGTTAAGTATAGATATCAACTAACTTTGTCTAAAATCTCTTGCTGTTCTTGCGTGAGATCGTCCATTGAGGAAACTTCAGGTGCCGCTTCAAAGAAATAACTTAAAAAAATACATAATGAGCAAATAACAACTAGATCGTGTAAATTTTGGACGACGTAGGCTTTGATCGATTAAAAAATGGATCACATTGAAAGTCATTGCACTGGAAGGGAAACTAAGAAACCTGAGGGCGAATTGAACATTCATATCAAATAACAAGTAAAACTACCTGACATATATAATCATTATGCTACTGAACGAATGAGGGAACATCTAATAAATAACGTTTGACTGTGTCAGAAATGACAAGCTGCGAAAATCTGAAAAATTTGCAAATTCCCGATCGATCGAGAGGAAACTGGACTATTTCAGCTCACCTTGAAGTGAAGAGGTTCCTTCTAATTCAGCTACGTTTTCGCCGTTAGCTTTTGATGGCGAACACACCTGATAACATTAACGCAATCGAAGAAAATCTCATCTTCTCGTGATTAATAAAGAACCTTCTAGATAAATTATATAACTAATCTCGAGGGTTTTGATGTCATCCATGCTCCACTGAAAAACAATTGATGAAAAGCTCATCCTTCGGTGAAACATTAGGAATCTGTTTTTGAGTTAGTTATATAAGTAATTTGGATGTGGGTTACGTGGGTTACCTACGTACATTTAGATTAACAAGGCAAGGTCGTGATTATGGCTTCTGACTTACGTGCAGTGATCACAAACGATCAAAAATAACGCCACAAAACCTCATAATATTCTTCTTTGGCAATGACGATCATTTAAATGTATGGGTTTCTTCTAATTAATAGTGGTAAAAAACAAAACAAAAGTTCATCCTCAGTCCTCCCGGCCTGCAACAAGTCACGTGCGAGGAAATACATTGGCGCCATCTTCAAACAGGAGCGTTCCCAGATTCTCGAACCTTTTCTGTTTATTCACCTTATTATGTTTTAAATGATCTCAGAGATGGAAGCTAACTACAATGAAGAGCTAAATGCTACCAAAGAGCTGCTAAAAGGCCTTAGCATCCACCAGGAGACAACACATGAAGCAGAGGAGGAGAAACAGTACAGACCTTCTATCTCAGGTTATTCGTTTTCATTCAGATAGCTTTGAATTATACGCTTGCATTTTGCTAATAATTATTTGAAATAATAACGATGGCTAATTTTTCAGGCGATCTAAGCTTATGAATTGCTTGTATTCAATATCCCTCAGGGGGGAGGGGGCATAACGAGCTAATGGTGAGGATCTTTCCAAAAATTAGATATTTTAGATGACAAAAAATCTTCGAACGAAATTAGAGGTTAAGTAGAGCCGTCACCAGTCTAGATTTCAGCAGAACCTCCATGAAAGAAACCCCGTTTTCAAAGCCTCATTTTAAAAAGTAAACACTTTTTAGCACGTGCACAAAGTGACACAACAAAACCGTGTTCTTACCCAAATCCACCATTTCATATTTATAAACATCTTCTGTTTTTCAGATCACTCAGATGATAATGAGGAGGACAAGTTACGGTACAACCGTTTTATCCAAAAAGGCAAAGAGTTAGGAAGACAGGGACACCTTGAACGAGCTCTTCAGTTGTTTGAGAAAGCTTGTGCAATATTTGAATCTGAAAAGCTTCTCAGAAGGATTGAAAAAATCAAGGTTAAGTTTCATATGATATGAGGCCTTTCAAAAAAGGTTTCTTGTTTGAGAGTTCTTTTTTTTTGCGGGTACAGAGTTTACCACAGATCTTTTGTCTGCACTGTCTTGTTTAGAGTTGATTGGTAGATGTCACAGTGTACCAGAAGTTGTTGTAGTCTTCAGATCAATGTCATTATCTGAGCAACTGAACACCTACCCCTCCCCTAACCCAACATAGATCCTAACCTGTCATCAGTTAACTATTGTTGGGTCAGGGGAGGGGTAGGTGCATACTGACATTGAACCAGTTCTTTTACAGTAGCTGTTTGTTTTTTCAAAATGTCTGTTTGTTGAAAAAAACTTCTGAACATTTGTGACTTAGGAAGCTATAGAAAGGTATAAACAGGAAGAAGATGAAGAAGATGAAGAGGATGATGGAATGTGTGAAGTAGGTGATGGCTTTTCTTTACCAGCTGAGATTTACCAATCTTTGTATCCATATCAACTGGATGGTGTCCACTGGTTCTGGAATCTTTACCAGAAAGGCATGGGAGGCATTCTTGGTGATGATATGGGGTAAGCACATCATGATCATTTAGCTCCCAATATTTGAATAGTTATTCTCTCTTGTAGCTCCTACATATTCCCTTGCAAATTAGTTCAGAGAAGTTAGTGTTATATCAAGACCACTACCGTCAGCCAATAACATCATCTGTTCTCATTACCTGTTTGATGGATGATGCGATGAAATTGTTAGAAAAAGTTGCAAGTTAATCCCTTCTGCAAGTTCCAGGATAAATGTATAAACTGTGTTTCGAGGCTGCTATTATTATCACATGAAATGAAAATAGAAAATGTAATCTGAAACTAAGGACAATTATCTTGAATTAATATAATTTAAAGGTCATTAACCCTCCACACCCTAACATCAGTATGCATATTCTCCATACTGTTCTCTATACTTTTCCTAAGGTGCTGACAAAGAGAATTTAACAAGAGAGTTTAACAATCAAGAGCCTCTTTAGCTGGTGATCATTCCCTTCATTCTCCTGACCTTAATGTGTGATTCAGGGGTGATAATGTAAGGAGAAATTAGTTAATGTTAGTCACTCTTAGGGCTCAAAGGGTTAAGCATTATCAGTAAGAGATGATAGATCTTGGTATTCATTTTAATTTGCAGACTGGGAAAGACAATCCAAGTGATATCATTCATTGCTGGGATGTTTGATGCAGAGCTTATCAAAAAAGTGTTGATTGTAATGCCAGTGTCAGTGATGCCGAACTGGGAAAAGGAGTTCAGCAAATGGTAGGGAAGAAGAGTTATTGTATTACTCATTATCTTATGAACTCATACACCCTAACATCAGTATGCATAATCTCCATACTGTTCTCTATACATTTTCCATGGCACTAAAATGAGAATTTGAATAGTTTAATATTAAAGAGCTTCATTTCCTTTATTCTCATGACCTTTATGGTTGATTCAGGGGTGATACTGTTGTGAGAAACTGGATGCTAGTCACTCTTAAGAAGTTATCCCTTCAACTCCCGAGATCTGATTCTTAATTCTCCTCTCTGGCTGCTACACATTTACTTGTAGAATAGTTACAAGAGTTTGGTGTTAGATCAAGATAAAACCTTCTACCTGATAAGTTTGAGTATTCTCATTACCTGTTTGCTGGATAATGTATGGATATCATAGAGAGAAGTTACACATTATTCACCTCTGAAAATTAAAGGGTTAAAGCATTGGGGAAATTCAATCAATAATATCAATGCTAGTCGTGATCAGATTTCCAAACCTTATGGTATTTCAAGAACTTAGATGTTACAGGATGAGGTCATATCCCCAAGTGATGGCAAACAAAGCAGTTTTTTCCACACAGAGGCAAATTTCATTGGTTTTACAAATTAATCTGAGGATAAAATTATTTATGGTTGGGTATTTAAGATTGTTGTGTCTACTTTTTGAGGTGATTTGGTTGTAGTGAGTTATATATGTTTTTTCCAAAAAGGGCCCCTGGAATTCGTGTTAGAGCCTTTCATGGGACAAATAAGAAGGAACGCATGCGAAACCTGGAAAAAATACAAAGAAGAAATGGAGTTTGCTTGACTACCTATGGTTTGTTATTTTGGTTTAAGTTTTGATACTAGCCAGTCATTGACTGTTTTTTGAGGAAATCTAAGAGCTTCAATGATAAAATAGATGTATCTCAATATTGCAGCATGTTCCTGGCTCATTGCAAATGTGGAAAAAATGGGGAAAAAGGGTGAGAGGGGACGGAAAAAACAGCAGGGAACTGGGAAAATTTACAAACGCTCATGGAACCCAATGAACTCTCCGTTTGAGGCTTTTGATTTACGTTTAGAAAGTAATAAAGAGGAAAAGAAAATACAAGAATGGAAGAAGTCATTAATTTACCTGATTTAAGGTTTAGAGGGAGATTTTCATAACCATCTCAAGGACATTTCACCTCCAATTTCACAATGACTCTTTTTGGCCACAGGTTTAATTGTATCCAGCCATGAATCTTTGGGGGCCTTAACATGGGTAAGTGACAAACCCTCTATTTCCGAAAAAACCTTTTCTTTAAAATGCTTAATTTATTAATTTGAGAATTTTAATCGCCACCCCCCCATCCAACTATCTGCTTTTTGCGGAGTCTGTGTTGTTTGTTTCGTTTTTAGAAGAAGCCCCTGTGATCGTGGTGAAAGATATTCAAATTTTTAGTCTCATTAACCCTGAAAAAATTTACATTTCATGATAAAATAAGTACTGTTTGCGTGTAATCACTTTCCCTTTCCTTTTTTCTAGGATTACATCATTTTGGACGAAGGACATAAAATCAAAAACACGGCAACGAAGACAGCAAAGAATCTTCGATTGATCCCTGCGAAACATCATTTTATTCTAACAGGGACACCAGTACAAAACAACTTGAGGGTTAGTCGATACATTTGAAATTCAAAATATTTCGGAAAATCTTTTCAGTATGATTATTGTTTTTTGTTTTTGTTTTTTTTTTGTTTTTTTTGCGACTCTCGAACACAGAAACGTGACAAAGAATCAAACAGAAAACAGGAAAACAGCGCGCGAGACACTAACGTACAAACAATCAAACAGGACACAGAGAAAACATTGCGCGAGACACTAACGTAACAAACAATCAAACAGAAGACAGGAAAACGGCGCGCGAGACACTAACGTAACAAACAATCAAACAGAATACAGAGAAAACAGTGCACGAGACACTAACGTAACAAACAATCAAACAGAAAACAGAGAAAACAGCGCGCGAGACACTAACGTAACAAACAATTAAACAGGACACAGAGAAAACATTGCGCGAGACACTAACGTAACAAACAATCAAACAGAACACAGGAAAACAGCGCGCGAGACACTAACGTAACAAACAATCAAACAGAACTCAGAGAAAACATTGCGCGAGACACCAACGTAACAGACAATCAAACAGAACACAGGAAAACAGCGCGCGAGACACTAACGTAACAAACAATCAAACAGAACTCAGAGAAAACATTGCGCGAGACACCAACGTAACAGACTATCAAACAGAACACAGAGAAAACATTGCGCGAGACACTAACGTAACAAACAATCAAACAGAACACAGAGAAAACAGTGCGCGAGACACGAACGTAACAAACAATCAAACAGAACACAGGAAAACAGTGCGCGAGACACCAACGTAACAAACAATCAAACAGAACTCAGAGAAAACATTGCGCGAGACACCAACGTAACAGACAATCAAACAGAACACAGAGAAAACAGTGCGCGAGACACCAACGTAACAAACAATCAAACAGAACACAGAGAAAACATTGCGCGAGACACCAACGTAACAGACAATTAAACAGAACACAGAGAAAATAGTGCGCGAGACACTAACGTAACAAACAATCAAACAGAACACAGAGGTAACAGTGCGCGAGACACCAACGTAACAGACAATCAAACAGAACACAGAGGAAACAGTGCGCGAGACACTAACGTAACAGACAATCAAACAGAACACAGAGAAAACAGTGCGCGAGACACCAACGTAACAAACAATCAAACAGAACACAGAGAAAACAGTGCGCGAGAGACCAACGTAACAAACAATCAAACAGAACACAGAGAAAACATTGCGCGAGAAACCAACGTAGTAACAAACAGTTAAACAAAACACAGGAGAAACAGTGCGCGAGACACCAACGTAACAAACAATCAAACAGAACACAGAGAAAACATTGCGCGAGACACTAACGTAACAGACAATTAAACAGAACACAGAGAAAATAGTGCGCGAGACACTAACGTTACAAACAATCAAACAGAACACAGAGGAAACAGTGCGCGAGACACCAACGTAACAGACACTAACGTAACAAATAATCAAACAGAACACAGAGGAAACAGTGCGCGAGACACTAACGTAACAAACAATCAAACAGAAATCAGAGAAAACATTGCGCGAGACACCAACGTAACAGACAATCAAACAGAACACAAAGAAAACAGTGCGCGAGACACCAACGTAACAAACAATCAAACAGAACACAGAGAAAACAGTGCGCGAGACACTAACGTAACAGACAACCAAACAGAACACAGAGAAAACATTGCGCGAGACACCAACGTAGTAACAAACAGTTAAACAAAACACAGGAAAAACAGTGCGCGAGACACTAACGTAACAAACAATCAAACAGAACTCAGAGAAAACACTGCGCGAGACACTAACGTAACAAACAATCAAACAGAACACAGAGAAAACAGTGCGCGAGACACTAACGTAACAAACAATCAAACAGAACTCAGAGAAAACATTGCGCGAGACACCAACGTAACAGACAATCAAACAGAACACAGAGAAAACAGTGCGCGAGACACCAACGTAACAAACAATCAAACAGAACACAGAGAAAACATTGCGCGAGACACCAACGTAACAGACAATTAAACAGAACACAGAGAAAATAGTGCGTGAGACACTAACGTAACAGACAATCAAACAGAACACAGAGAAAACAGTGCGCGAGACACCAACGTAACAAACAATCAAACAGAACACAGGGAAAACAGTGCGCGAGACACCAACGTAACAAACAATCAAACAGAACACAGAGAAAACAGTGCGCGAGACACTAACGTAACAGACAATCAAACAGAACACAGAGAAAACATTGCGCGAGACACCAACGTAGTAACAAACAGTGAAACAAAACACAGGAAAAACAGTGCGCGAGACACTAACGTAACAAAAAGGAAACAGATACTCATGCAACAAAGAGCCAATCAGCGCGCGAGAAGCTTAAAAAATCAACAATCACGAGTCCACAAAGTTTTATTATTACATTCACAGGAGATGTGGGCCTTGTTTGACTTTGCATGTGAAGGGAAGCTACTGGGAACATCACGAACCTTTAAGAAAGAATACGAAGACCCAATCGTGCGGGTTAGTTTACAGAGTTTTCAAGCTGTTAAATGCCATGAGTAGATTTTCATGGGGTGAATCCTTTTGATACGCAGTAATCGCAAGGATGTCAAGTTTTTGAATTGCGCTGATTTCAGGCGAGAGAAAGAGATGCTACAACGTATGAAAAACGCATGGGGATGGAGATGTCAGAAAGTCTTCGTAAACTTATTGAGCCATATTTTCTGCGGCGAACCAAAGCAATGGTTCTAGAGAAGAAAAACAAAAATCCCGATGAAGTTGATGGATCAGAGGAATCGGATAAGGAAAATAAAGAAGGAAGTATCAGAAGGTAATACAATCATAGGTGAATGAGAAAGTGATGGCAAAGCCGTCATGGATGGTCAAAAGGACGGCTCAGGCGATTGGTTAAGTCGATAAAGGGAACATCCACTTCCAACTCCGTTACTCTGGAACCACAGGCCGACCACCTCCATCGGGTGATCTGCTGTGGTGCCAACTGATTTCCACCCATCACCGGGTCGCGCCTTTTAACAATTTACTTTTTACTTACTCCATGTATTTTTGTGTTTGCAGTCTCCCCAGTCAATACAGAGCTAATAAATGCCTCTAAATTTCTGATAAATTTTAGCGTCTGTGCAACTACGCACCCACCCCTCCCCTAACCCAACAACAGTCACCTGATGACAAGTTAGGGTTAATTTTGGGTTAAGGTTAGGTTATTCATTTAGGCCTGGGAGCCGGGGTCTGGGGACGAGGGTACTTCAATTCACCACCAGCCGCGTGGAGAACTACTCTTAGAGGCTTTCTGAAATAAACTCTGTCACTGAAAGTGATCATTGCTTTATCTGTGTTCTCTTTAATTTATAGAATGCCTAAGGAGTTAACCAGGAAAAACGACTTTGTTGTCTGGCTCTACATGTCCGAAAGTCAAATCAAAATCTACAGTGACTTTTTAGGACTGGAAAGAGTGAAAGAGGTATGCATTTCAGATATATGATGGTTAAAAGAATTATCTGCCAAGGTTTCCAGTAAGATAATTACTAGTAAAAAAATCTCTCATCACCTAGTCAATTAAGCGCTAAATTATCCATAAAATTAGCAAAAATTTGACAATAACGACCTCGACCTGAAGTCGGAAAAACGTAAACCAAATACAGAAAAATTGGCATAAAGCGGAACGAATGAACAAAGTAAGATAATTGAAATAGTTTCCATTCGTGTAAAATTAAACATTTTTCAGGTTTAATTTAATTTTTGCAAAATGTCATACTGGTCAGAGATCACTTTTTTCTTGAAAGTTAACGAAAATGACTAACATTGCCGAGCTGATACTGCTGTTACATACACTGTTTAACTCGTCAAACAGCTTGATTTTATTTTTGAATAAACGATATGAAGGGAGATTGTGTATTGGTATTATATTTTTAGCTGTTAATGAGCACTCGTTCCCCATTGGCTGAGTTGAATGTGCTGAAGAAGATCTGTGATCATCCTCGACTGTTATCTACTCTGGCTTGTGAGCAGCTCGGCTTGGATGAACAGGCCAGGTTTGTTCTCCAATTTTAAAGTAACTTATTACCGCTGTTAAAAAAAGTCCCTATATGTACAGTGAAAAAGGGCTTCTGCAAATCGAGCTGGCCTCATGTAAAAGTCGTTCACTCTCCCAAAACAAAAACTTGAAAAACAAAGTGGTAGAGAAGGAGTTGAGTGTAACAGTCAACAACAGACAGTTACATACGAAAAGAAAACTACCAAAAAGACGCTTGTTTTCATAGATGTTGCAAGACATTTTGTGAAACAAGACTGATGCATGTTTGTGAAAATATCGTTATGCGTAGTACCCAGTGCAGTTTTTTTTTTCTCCCAGTTCCCAGGAGGTGGGCGCGCAATGAAGTTAACTTTTAATGAAGGCTTTGAAAGCTTGTGCATTAAAAAATGTTTACCTATCTTCGTACACCGACTTCACTGCGCAAACGTCAAATTTGTTTTACTCTATGAATTACACTCAAGCTTTACATTTCAGACTGGTGGAAATGGACGCTGATGAAGACGATTCCAGATCATTTGCCACTCAACCAAAAGGCCTGGGGCCCTCAGACAAGGTGCTGACACAGGAGTCAGGGAAAATGGTGTTCTTGGTGTCCCTGTTGGACAATCTCAAGGCTGAAGGCCACAGGTGTCTGGTGTTCAGTCAATCAAGAAAGATGCTGGACATTGTTCAACGGGTTATTACTCATAGGGTAGGTCGGGAAAATTGCTGTGCATGTTTTCTTTAGTTTAGTTTTTCTTGAACCAAGGTGTGGCTACTCAAGTTAGAAAAAAACGGGGATACATAGTATATTCAAGGTATTTTACATCTTGTTTTTTTGCTTTCAGTTTCAATTTCATTTTGCTTTAATAAGGGGACACGTAAACCAAATTTGACGTTGGCGAACTAGCTCAGTCTTTCTTAATTCTACCTGTTCCTGTTAAAGTTAAATGAACTCTGCTGATGTTTTTTCTATCTTGGCTGTCAATCGCTCTTTTAGGTTTTTTTTAAAGTTAAAAACGTTATGGATTTGCTGTAGGATCAAAGTGTAGAAACCCCTTTCATACAATCACCATCGGTCCGTACAGAGTTTATTGCATGAGGCAACTTGGACGAATACGACTACAAAATCTATATTTTCCCAGCTGGGAAAAACGCGGGAACCCTCAACATTTTGGTTCATATTTCGCTGACGATAATTTGGCAAACTGTGTTTATTATTAAGGCTATAATAAAGCTTTACGAGCGTCCTAAATATTTCCCTGAAAATTGAAATTCAATTGCACTTGTAGTCAAACTTGTCCCTAAGGTCTGGGTACTTAAAATAAGTCTTAATTACATATGCGGTCCCAGTTACAAACTGTTACTAACATTGAAGTATTTTATCCTCAGGGACACAAGGTTATTCGTATCGACGGCACGATAACAAGTACAGCTGAACGGCAGCATCTTATCAACACATTCCAGACTGATTCGTCTTACACATGCTTCCTTCTCACAACACAGGTCTGTGGAGTATGCTCAGATTTCAGATACCTGCATCAGTATTCGGACGGAGACACCAATCCGGGATACTTGTGTCCGTTTTTGGACACTTCTGGTCAATTTTAAACACTACTGTCCGATTTAAAATACTAGTGTCCGATTTTAGACACAAATATCCCATTTTAGACGCTAGTGTCAGATTTCAAGCACTTGTGTCCGATTTTAGAAACATTTAGATAGAAGTGTCTAATTCTGGACTCTGGTGCCCGATTTTGAAGAATGGCTTCCGATTTTGGACAGTAGTGTCCGCTTTTAGACTCCAGTGTCCAAGTTTAGACATAAGTGTCCGATTTAGACGCTAGTATCCGATTTTAGACACTAGTGTCCGATTTTAGATGTTAGTGTCTTATTTTGGACATAAGTATGCAATTATGAACACTAGTGTCTGATGTTAGACTCCAGTGTTCGATTTTGGACGCTAGAATCCGAATTTGGACACAATTTTCCAATTGGGTCGCAAAGCTTCGTCGGGGTCAAATGTACTAACGCTTGAAAGGTCTGCTTTTTAAACTTCTACTGATCAACTTTTATTTATAACCTAAAATATTTGAAATATTTCAACTGCTCCTTTTCTGCAGGTCGGTGGCGTTGGAATAACACTGACCTCTGCCGATCGTGTGGTTATCTGTGAGTATTCGACGTTTGTACCAAGACTTCAAAGTGATTCCGAATCGATTATCCGCCAAATAGTTCGGTGTAAAAATGTTTAGATGTAGCGTTAAACATTAGACCTTGGTATGATTATCTAGGGAATGAACTATTGAACAGATCCAGATCTGACATTTTGAAATTCAGCGTAAGACAGAGGAATCAACCCCCACAAACTCTGGTGTCTACTTCTCGGACTCGCTTTGATATTGTTGTTTCACGCCAAATTTTTAAATCTTCAAATTAGACACACGGTATTTCAAAACAAATCCGTTCAAACATGGCGCATTATTGACAAATAATTCTTGTTTCCTCAGTTGACCCGAGCTGGAATCCCGCCTCAGATGCCCAAGCCGTAGACAGGTACAATACTAGGAAGGTTTTTTTCGGGGGGAAGGTTTTTCTTTAGGGAAGGGGATGTGGGGGGGGGGGTAAAGTGCGATTTATCGAGGGAATGAGCCGATTAGTTTAGACATATTTCCACCTCAGGGAGGTGTCTGTTTGAGAGGGCGAATGATCAAGGAGTTACTGTTGTGACGGGAATTGCGTTATTTTTGAACCAGGGGAAATTGATTTATTCCGTTGTACAAACGCATTGTAAAAAAACCCTGAAATTCGTCAAGGTAAGGACCTAGTCAATCACGAACTTTTGATAAGTTTTCATGTTCGGTGGAAACTTGTCCCAAGTAGTGTATAGATTGTCAAGGTTTAATGTAACCTAATGTTGCAGCGCTCAGTGTTTAGGCCAAAAGAAAAGTTAAAAGATATGATCTGGTGTCCTTTTTGTAAACAGAGTTTACAGAATTGGACAGAAAAAGACTGTTGTCATTTACCGGCTAATCACATGTGGAACACTTGAAGAGAAGATTTACCGCAAGCAGATCTTCAAAGATGCTCTGATGAAGCAGACCACAGGCTTGTCCAAGAATCCCTTCAGGTAAAACCAAAGAGATCGTTTTATCTTTCGTGGGGAATTCCAGCTGGTCATGTGTTTGTTCTACTCGATTATTAGTTGACACACTGTTTCGCGCTCTTTTCGAGCTCTGTTTTTTTCTGCGTTCTGTTTGATTGTTTGTTACGTTAGTATCTCGTGCAATGTTCTCTCTGTGTTCTACTTAACTGTTTGTTACGTTAGTCTCGCGCATTGTTTTGTATGTGTTCTGTTTGTTTGTTTGTTACGTTAGTATACAGCGCACTGTTTTCACTGTGTTTGATTGTATGTTACATTAGTGACTTTTCTCTGTGTTCTGTTTGACTGTTTTTCACGTTAGAGTCTCGCGTACTGTTTCGTATGTGTTCTGTTTTGTTGTTTGTTGCCTTAGTCTTAACGCATTGTTTAGAATGTGTTCTGTTTGATTCTTTGTCGCGTTTGTGTCTCTTTCACTGTTTTATTTGTGTTCTGTTTGATTCTTTGTCACGCCAGTGTCTCGCACACTGTTTTGTATGTGTTCTGTTTGATTGTTTGTCGCGTTAGTACCTCGCGCACTGTTTTGTATGTGTTCTGTTTCATTGTTTGTCACGTTAGTGCCTCGCGCACTGTTTTGTGTGCTCTGTTTGATCGTTTGTTACGTTAGTGTCTCGCTCACTGTTTCGTATGTTTTGTTGTTTGTTGCCTTAGTCTTAACGCATTGTTTAGAATGTGTTCTGTTTGATTCTTTGTTGCGTTTGTCTCTTTCACTGTTTTGTATGTATTCTGTTTGATTGTTTGTCGCGTTAGTGTCTCGCGAACTGTTTTGTATGTGTTCTGTTTCATTGTTTGTCACGTTAGTGCCTCGCGCACTGTTTTGTGTGCTCTGTTTGATTGTTTGTTACGTTAGTGTCTCGCGCATTGTTTTGTATGTGTTCTGTTTGATTATTTGTCACGTTAATGTCTCGCTCACTGTTTTGTATGTGTTCTGTTAACTGTTTGTCAAGTTAGTGTCTTGCGCACTGTTTTGTATGTGTTGTGTTGACTGTTTGTTACGTTAGTGTCTCGCGCACTGTTTTTTATGTGTTCTGTTGACTGTTTGTCAAGTTATTGTCTCGCGCACTGTTTTGTATGTGGTCTGTTGACTGTTTGTTACGTTAGTGTCTCGCGCACTGTTTTGTATGTGTTCTGTTTGATTGTTTGTCACGTAAGTGACTTATGCACTGGTTTCATTGTGTTTTGTTTGATTTTTGATATGGACAATTTCGTACCCCTACCCCAGTGCGACATTTGATTTGTTTTTTTCTCGCTATAGTGGACACTCAAATTCTTCGTCCACGATCCTGACTCACATAATATAAATCGACATTACGATAAAGGAAAGTAAAGAAACCATTCTTGAATAGGGTGCGGTCGGATCTTTTTATGTTTCGTGAGGCCACCTTAGAAACTTTATCTTTTTGTAGTTACATATTATTTCGTATGTTTAGAGACAAATCAATTAATTTTTCTCTCGTACCCCCGCTATTACGGACTCTCGCTATTACGGCTAAATCATCTTCTTCCCCCCCCCCCCTCTTCTGCGGGTTTCCGCAATAACGGGAGTTGACTGTATTATTTTGCATCGTTTAAGATCAGAACCATTACATTGCCTGTACTGGGTGACAAAGCAGGGCAAGAACCAAACTATAATTTATAGTTTGAATTGGTTTTTCACTTGTTTCGCTCTTACTGAGCCCTCAGGGTCCCGGCTGTCAGTGCCGGCTTGAACATGACTTTCTCAATTCCGTTTGTCATCATAACTTCTCCATTCAAGGAGGTTTTGTCATTTATTTTAAGTGCTTACTCTGTCTTGAACGAGGGAAAAAGTACCTTAAATCTAAAAATGACTTCATCTTACAGGTATTTCAGTCACCAAGAGTTACGTGACTTGTTCACACTGGAAGATCCTCATCATTCAAAAACGCAACTACAGCTTGATCAGATGCACTCGAAACACAGGAAAACTGACAATGAACTGGAAAAACACATCAAGTTTTTACACACCTTAAGTGAGTAACTGAAAGGAAACGATTCCTCATAGATACTAGTTAACTATTCCACCTTAAAAACGTTTCATGAAATTTAGACCGTTTACCGACTCTCTTTATAAAGATCTCTCATTCACTAACAATACATGCACGGTGGCAATTTTGACGGGCATGAATTGGGGCATGTCAAATCTGTAGCATCTACTTTGGAGTGTGGGATCTGGGTTCTTTAGCAATGGAGGTCGTTTTACGTGAATTGTCGGGCCAGCTACGTTCCTTGAATTTGTCTCTTCTGAATTGTGAACGTCATTTGCTATTTTATCATTATTTTTCAATGTCCTTGATCTCTTTCTTTGAAAGAATTGAGAAATTATTTAGCCCGTGGATTAGGGAACAAATAGTGCCCCATTTAAGGGGAGTAACAGTTTACTTTCAGCCATTACCTTCATTGAATTTTAATAAAGTGTTGCCTTTCTACAGACATATTCGGTATTTCTGACCATGATCTGATGTATTCTCATGAAGATGTGGAAACAGCTGATGAACATTCAGTACCAGACAGGGAGGCCATCCAAGCCAGAGTAAGTTATCCCGCTATTTAATCCCGTCATATCAAATACCCGCTTAGTTTCTTCAATTTAAAGACTTCGACAAATCCCTTTTTCTTATACGTTGAGGCTCTTAATCTCTTTCCCAGCCGTGGTTGGGATGCCACGCAACGCTTCGGGGGGGGGGGGTGGGAAGGGAAAGCATATTACTTAATGATAAACCAAACATATGGTACGAGGGAGACTACGAAAGCAGATCTGATGTTAGATTTTTCTTCCCTCAAGAAAAATATTTTAAAGAATACATAGTGTTATTTTTCTCAGCCTGAAAGTCCCAGAGGGCTCTTCATATGTCCCTCCATTAATACTTCTGTGCGGATTTTACTCCTTGGACTGTTTCATTTTTGCACTTTTTTCAGGTTCTCCGAGCCCAGAATTTAGTTGCAGCTGAATCAGGATTTTCAGGACAAACTCGACCCAGTACCTTATATCCCCCATCGGGGGTCCCCAGTACCTGCCCCCGAAAGATCCCAGATAACCAGGAAAGAATGGTCATACCCCAGGGACTACGGCATTCTCTTCCTTCGAGTGAAAATACCATGACTGCCCGGCAAAAAATACAGGCGAAAATTGACAGTGAGGTGTTCATTATACCCAAACGCGACGACACGAAGAGATTTCAGCCAAGTCAGGTTTGTGAACTATACTCAAAGTTATTTGCCTTTATTAACCGAGTTGATAATGTAAATTGGCCCCCGTCAATATTTTCCACAGCTGATATTTCGAGTGTTAGCCCCTTCGTCGACTTTAGAAACTCTTTACAGTGGCCAGTTTACATCATCAACTCCTGTGATAAAACCAAATCATCTTATAACATACCCACTGATACAGCATCTTTACAATCTTATCCTCTATACTCGGAGTGGTTTGCATGTGATTGTTGTGACAAAATCGATCTATTAGAGCTTTTAAGCCTTAAGCTTAGTCTCTGTTTTCAAAAGGCAATCAGAAGTTGTGAAATATTTTCATTTTGAATGATATTTGTCGAATGATCGAATGATGGCTGTTAAAAAAACATGTGGTGAACCGCACACATTGCTTCTAAGATGATTTTTTAATATTTTTCTTTTTGACCGGTTTTATTCGATTTGTTTTCATTTACTTTTGTCTTTATGCTGTCGAACCTCTCGTTACGGACACCTCTCTTAAAACAGACATTTTGCTCTCTCCCTTCGGTCCACGGTTTACCCTTGAAGAGAGGCTTGTAAGAGAGAATTTTGTAATTTTGTCTTTCACAGTTGCGATGTAAACTGAATAGCTGACTTCCTCTTTTCTTCCCACCAGGCTTCAAGATCAGCACAGAATTCATCACCAGTCCTCATAGATCTTTGTTCTCCTGCAGCTCCTAAGGAGAGTTCTCCCCCTCCTGAAATGTATGCTGGGAGTATTATACACAACAGTTTCGTTTGTATTCATTTTGTTAATAGTCAACTGGAATATTTCAATAGTTTGTTTGGGCGTAATTGTGAAACTTAAACGGTTTTCGGGGATAAACTTAACGGGACTAAGTCGCTCTACGTGGAACTCGTTTCTTTTAAGAAGAAAGCTGACCTGTAACCGAGGGAAACTTTAAAGTACTTTAATAGTTCTATATTTTAGATGATAACCATAGAGGTAAGAATAAATCCAAAAGGTGCAGGTATTGACTGCTTGGTGATTTTGAAATATCAGTCCGTCAGTGTTACAGCCGTATTTCCAGAGGGTGCCATCTTGTCCCCCGCTTGTTAGCTTTACAAAAAAAAGGGCCAAAATATGATTGGTTAAAAAATTATGACTTCACGGAAATCGTTTGGGATCGCAGGCGTTTTTTCGCGGGCTGGCAGAAGCGTTGATGGGAAGTACGTCTATCATGCTGGTTATTAAAATATATGAATTGTGTGATATATTACCTGATGAATTAAGTTTCTTTCTGTTAGTATTAATGACTCACCTGCTGTGTTGAAGAAGAACAGACGGAAAAGTATGAGTCAGAGGATTGAACTTCCGGTGATCGATGATGATGATGATGATGAGGATAAGGATGATGAAGAGCTTAAGGAACACGAGAGCTCACAAGATGACAACAACGACATAGATGAAGATCATGAGGAATTGGAAGGCTCTGTGCCGAGCCAGTGTCCCTCAGGGGAACATGTGTGTGATGCCATCAAGATACACAAGTGTGCATGTGTGATCAGCTCATCGGAAAGAGAGAAGTACGACTTGTGTCTCGTCAATGGAAGGTTTGTGCTGTTTGATATGATTTTTTATTATTCTAAAAATTTGCCGGAGTTAGGTTATTTTAACTCGGGTAATATTCGTGCAACTCGGATTTAACTCGGGTAATGTTCGTGCAACTCGGATTTAACTCTGATGATGTTTTTGCAACTCAATTTAACTCGGGTGACGTTCGTGCTTTTTGTTAGTAGCTTATTGGATTACGATGTGCTATAAGAATGAGAAATGACAGAAAATCACGATGCGAAGACTCAAAGGAGACTGGGCGCGCAATGATAATTGGGTAGCTCGCCTCAGTCCTCTTGGTATTTTTCTTTCATTTACAGACAACTGGAACTAGAAGGCAAGGTACAGGAGGCTGCTATGCACTATATGGACGCCTTAGAATTGATGGACAGTGATTATTCTGTACATGTCAAAGTTCTGGAGTTGGCTGAGCAAATGAATTTCCAACCTCCGTTGATTGAAACAGCATAGCTTTTGATGAAGAATGCTCGATTACAGTTGGGTTAATATATCGAAACTGGTTAAAAGAGGCAATAAAGCTAAATTATTTAAAATTTAATTTTTTTTTTTGGAAATTTTGAAATAAAAGGGAAGAAAAAAAGTGAGCAGACTATTAGAAATATAAATCAGCTATTCTGAAAGATGAATTTGCATGTGCCGTTATGCTTCCATCTCGTGATTCTTCGTGGTTCCGCAAATCTGTGTAACTATTCCCACTGAAAACACGTAAAGGAAAGAAGGATTGTTTAGCTATATTGCCGACCATGTAAGTTTACGCGAGGAAATTCGTTGTATAGGTATTCGTATAAAATTTACAAATTGGTTGAAAACATTCCTTCAGATTTAAAGTAAGACAATGATACATCTTTACTCAAATGAAATTATTAAAAATTTTGGGTCAATTTTGTGTGATATTTCTTTTAACTTCTTTGCTGATTGTTTATTGTTTATTTAAGCGAAGGATAGTGTCTGACTTTAACCTCATACAACCGCTTTCGGACATTACCGTCCACTTCCGGACGGTAACGTCCAATTTCGGACAAAAGCGTCTATTTTCGGAGATTTTTTTTGTACCGACTTTCAAATTTTATCGAAAACCGTTCCATTTTCCTTTTTTTTCTTCTTCTCGTTATTTTTAATCTTTCCAACAGTTTTAGTGATTATTAGCTCTGTCTTGTGTGCAAGTATCAAAATTACAGCTCTTGTGTAGGCTGAGAAATTCCTCTCTGAATATTGAAACAATAGAATTTGGTTAATGACAAAGAAAACTAGGTTTAGCTCGTGGTTCCCAAAAATTCTCAAAAGCTCATTAACAAATTTATATTGTTTAAATATTCATGCGTTAATATCTTGGCCGGAGAGAAGAACGTGATTGGCTCTTTCTTGTATGCAGGTGTCAAGTTCACAGCACTTTTAACTAGAGCGCTGAGAAAATACCCTCAGAAAAGTTTTATCAATTTAGGGAACGCGGGTAAAATGTCTTCGCTTGGTAACGAAATACTAATTTCCTTCAGGCTATATTTAAGCGTTTACACATCATCCAATGGGGGCGTTGGCTGAGACTAATCTTGTACCCAGATCCTGCGGCGGCGATTATGACCCTCCAATCCAGACCATTACCAACAAATCTACTTCACGTATTGCTGAGCAACCCTTCGCCACATTTTCCCATTTTTGACTCCTTCAGAAGCATTGTGCACATTCTTCAACATACTTGCTATGTCAGAATTTCCCTCGACTCCTCGAAGGTGGACCCAGACTGTTGCCGCTGAAGTGAAATAAGTTTCTTCACAAGCCACTTGTATGTTTTAGTTTCTTTCTCAACAGAGTGATGCTCGCCAATGTACTTTTTAGCATTCGTTGTTATGTAGTTGCGAAGTTGAGGAGATTTCTTTAATTCTTTGGCAAGTGTGATAAATTCCTTTCAGGGAAACAACAAAGAAACATCATGGTACAATTTTCTAATGTTAAAAGTGAAGAGTACATTACTAAACTGGACTTCTTCAATACGTTATTTCTAGTGTGGTTGGATTTTCTAGTTGATAATTTGCGTCGATTTTAAGCGCAGTTAAGGCCTTTTCAAATTCTCATGGCATCAACGATTTCTTCTGGTCATGACACCAGGTATTGTTAACTTAAGTGAACAAAACACAACAAAATGATATACAGGCTAAAGAAAGCAAAGTTTCGATGAAGACATCATATTTAGCACAACGCCTTCAAAAAAAGTATTCAAAAACTGAAACCTTATATTTCTAATATGATTACAGTGACAAGCGGAATCAAGGTAACTAACAATGCAGTGGCGGATCCAGACCTCGAGCTAAGGGGGGACCCCGGTTTTTTGTCGCTTGCCCTTCCGGCTTTTCTTCTTTCTGCGATTCTTTCTTTTTTTACCCAAAATAGGGAAGGGGAGGGCGGGGCGGCCCCCCCCCGGCTCCTCCCGTAGATCCGCCACTGCAATGTATGCAGAAAAAGGATAAAATCTTATTGGGCTAGGATGTGTTTCTTAAAAATCAAAATGTATAAATAGAGCAATTAGAGGCACTTTAGAAAGTCAATTCAATACTACTTTAATTACGTCACTTTTCTTTCGGGAAAAAGAAAACTTTATCTGAGTAACAAACCTCGGGTGAATTATAGAGAATACCAGTTTCTTTGTGTTTTATCACTGCAGAGTTTCCAGGAATGATTCGTGCCAGTACTGGAACACCAAGTGCCATGGACTGTTATCGGACAAAAACATAAAAAGTTAGAATATGCGAAAAGGAAAAAAGGCCTCACATTACACCATTGCGAAAGGCCATCAATTATGATAATTGACCGGTCGGTAGTCGTTAACGATTTTCAGGAAGAAAAAAAAGTGCGAATGCTTGAAGAAAATTCGTTCTTCTATGATAACAATAATCGGATTTTTAACTAGTCACTTTTTTCATACGATAAACCAATTACGGTGTGTTGAAATAAACCAAATATTCGAGTTAATGGCAGACGGATCAATCGGAGTTTGCGATAGAAAAGACACATCTATGTTTGACCTCAGTTGCCTGGACCAAGACAAATCAAGCTGCGCCCGCGCTCTAAGTTCATGGCAAAAGGCAGCGCACGCGATCATAACATTGCACGTGCGTTTCTTTTCGTCGCACGCGCTGCCTTTTGCAATGGACTTGCTGCAGCTACAATACTTGATATTACAATTGTCCTGTCAGAGTCACGTTTGAGGAGATTTTCAAATGAAAAATAAGAGAGAGGGAAAGCTTTTTTACTTTGTAAAATACAGCTTTGATTTAAGTCTTAGTTCTGATGCAGTCCGTTGGCGGCGATTCAGGTGATAAATTTATTACTGATTGACTAACCTCTAAAAGAGCAGATGCCATTCCTTCACTGGTTGAACTGTTTACAACAGCGAAGCAGCTTTGCATTGCTGCATGGAGATCACATGCTGGCAATGGCGGAAAAATGTAAACTCCTGGAAATCTACAAGTGATAGTTACAATTCCAAAAGTTGGTAACCATGAAATTTAAACATCTGACCTGTGGTATTTATGCACTGCAGTTGGAGAAAGTATATTTCATCTACAAATTGGGGATTCATTTTCACATTTTTTGTCATTGCAAAATTATCTTGGAAAGTTAGTAACATGAAGTTTAGTACCCCACATACATCAAGTAACATAAAAGGGAGTGTAACAAATCTCTCCTGAGAAATCATTTAGCAGAACTGAAAATGTCACTAGTTACAGGAGTAATTAAGCCTATGGTATGAAATTTGCAAATTATAAACTCAGGTAACTTAAGCAATGATCCTTGCAGATCAGCTGTACTTTACAGGCAATTGTAGAAAAGAAGATTGACAAAAATTCAGGCTTTGACTCGATTCAAACCCTGCCTCCCAGGCACTAGTTTGGCGTTACTAGCAAGTGAGTCATGAACTCACACTATGGGAGTGAGGCACATTTCAAAGGGTTCTTCGTTCCTGAGGAGGAATCTAAATCAATTTCTTAATTCTTGTGTAGGTTATTGTGTTTTATTTTGTCAAGAACACAAAACTTTCAAAATCCTTTAAATTTCAGGCCATTGACACGTTTTCTTCCTAAAAACCTTTTCTCAGTACACAGAGGTTTATTTATGTTTATATCCAGTTATTGATACCTCTGCACTTTAGATTTGATCTCTCTCGCAAATTCAGTGTCAAGCTATTAACATAAGAGAAAGAAAACAAAAGCAAACATAAAATACAAATTCATCAAGCTCTTTAAATTAAGTGCACGTGTGTTATGATGGCTGTGCAGTTAAATTAAATTAATTTAAACGGTGCTCTCTCAAGTTTAATCAGCCATTTAATGCTTTAAGCTTAGCAAATATCAATTTTTAAAGATTATGTGATGCAAGTGTTTAAAGTTTAATCATATAATTTTATGTTTACTTAAAAGTGCAGTATCCGAGTGCTGTGCCTTATACAAAATACATACCTGTGAGAAACTAAATAGGTTGCATGAGTTATTTTAAGACAAAAATATAAGGAGAGGAGGGTAAGGATTAATGAGGGTTAGAGAGATGAAGCAGGACAGAGAGGCCAGGCGTGAGGGATGGATGATGGAGACATGATGAAAAAAGGAAGAGGAAGATATGCAATGGTGAGGGGTGAAAGGGGGGGGGGAGGGGGGGGGGGAGAGGGGGGGGGTGGGGGAAAAGGATGGAGAAGTGAAATGTGAGAAAAAGGGATGGAAAGGTGAGGGGTGGGGAGAGAAGGATGAAGAGATGAGAGGGAGGAATGGGGAAGAAGGATGAGAGAGAGGGGAAGAAGGATGAAGAGATGAGAGGGGGAAAAGGGTGGAAAGGTGAGGGCTTATTGGGAAAGGGATGGGAAAAGAAGGATGAAGAGATGAGAGGGGGGAAAGGGTGGAAAGGTGAGGGATGGGGAAAGAAGGATGAAGAGAGAACTGAAGAAGAATGAAGGGTGGAAAGGTGAGGGGTGGGGAAAGAAGTGAAGTGGGGAGAGAAGGATGGAGGAGAAGGACTGACAGAGGGGGAAAAGGGTGGAAAGGTGAGGGTGGGGTGAGAGAAGGATGAAGAGATGAGAGGGGGAAAAGGGTGGAAAGGTGAGGGGTGGGGAGAGAAGGATGAAGAGATGAGAGGGGGAAAGGGTGGAAAGGTGAGGGGTGGGGAGAGAAGGATGAAGAGATGAGAGGGGGAAAAGGGATGGAAGGTGAGGGGTGGGGAGAGAAGGGGAGGAGAGGGGGCAGAGGTATGGAGGCAGGTGATGGGGGGGAGAATGGGGGGGAAAGAATGGGATGGGGTGGGGATGGAAGAGGGATGGGGAGAAGTGAGGGGTACTAGAGAAGGAGAAAAAGGTTAAGGGGGTGAAGAGTACAGAAAAGTGAAGGGTTGGGGTGAGAGGAGAGAGAGAGAGGTAGGGGTGGGGGAGAGGGACAGAGTGGTAAGGAGAGGGGGGCATGGAGCAAGGATGGGAGTGGAGGAATGAGGGGTGAGGGATGTAGAGCAGAATGGGAACTGAGGGGTGAGGGAGAGTGGCATGGAGGTGGAAAATCCCCATCCCCATCCCCACCCACCTGTGCTCAAGTAATTATATGATAAACCAACAGAGGGACAAAAAGACAAAAAATTCCTATTGGTTTAAACAGAAACTCACCTCTGGTCCTACTATGACTAAGTGAATGCTATTGTCATCTTTATGCCATTCTAAGGGAAAAATTAATGTTCTAAGTATTATAGATGCCTCTACAACAATAATTATCAAGGAAGGTGTTAGTTGGAACAATTGACAGATAATGAACTACTTCTTTTTTCCTTCTTACAATTTCAACACTACATCAAGCTAACATGAAGTGAAAATGAAGATAATTTTTGACAATGGAAATTATGCCCTTAAAATTGAAGGGTTAAGAAAAGTCTTAACTTAACCCTCCACACCCTAACATCAATATGCATATTCTCCATACTATTTCCCAAACATTTCCTAATGTGCTGGCAAGGAGAATTTATTTCACAATCAAGAGTTTCTTGAGATTGTAAGGAGAAATTAGATGCTAATCACTCTAAGGGGTCAAAGGTTCAAACCATGGTACATAAGCTCTGATTGGCTTGTCGCACCAATGAGCCAAAGCATCACACCCACCTGATATTGACTCTGCCAGATAAAGAGGGTCTTTCACTCGCCTTAAACCAGCAACCAACAAAAACACAGTCTATAAAAACAAAATGATGTCATAAGAGGTAAACTGATTCTGATAAGATAGTGTTTTGGAATTCAAGGAGGCTGTATACATTAATGTGAAAAACATTAGTCAGGCCAAGATACAGCAAGAGAAATTGTTTTCTTTTAATCTGTTAAATGCAGTAACTGAAGATTTGCAATATTATTACCCAGTTACTTCTCAGTACTGATTACTGAAATACCAAATTTGAGAGAGTGACGCTAAATTATTATAATTAATAATTTTAAGTATATACTTGATTAACTCACTAAGCCAGAATGTTTGTGACTGAGGAAACCATTTGAAATTTGATGTTGTCTCTGTGCATCTAAAAAAGAAACAAAAAACACCACTCAAACTATAAATGAAATTAAAAACAACATCAACAACAAAACAAATCCAAAAAAAACATTTAATATGGCTTTAAGATATTCTTATGGTCAGGTTGAGAGCCACTCAAAAATCTCCTTGGTTTTTTCACCTTCAATTGCCAGCAAGGAGAAGTTAAACCAAGGTGAAATGGAACAACTTCAGATAAATGACAGAAAACTGAACTCTAGTATTAGAACACTATAATCGTTAAGTTGCATATTATTTATTGCTCACCAATGACTTGTTTGCAATAGTCATGGAACAGAAATCCTGAAGGCTCAACACAAACTGCTGCAAGAGTTATGAAGTGAAAGACTGATTAAGGCAATAAGTAATGACCTTTTTAGGTACAATTTTTTTTTCAAGTTAAACATAAAAAAAATAATATGAAATGCATACTAAACTTAACTTATGAAGCAAGATTCATTGATTACCTTGTGGCTGTAAAATTATCTTCTCTTCACAATCTGGCTGTAAAGCAAAATGGAAAAAATACCAATTTTTTGTGTTGAGAAAAAAGTGAAACACAGCACCATTTATGTTTTATAATGAATTGTTTGACAAGAAATGTGCCCTAATCTCCATGATTGCAAAGACCATTTTTAGCATTCATTAAAAACTACTTTAATCTCTCAAATCTTAATATTTACAGATAATAATTTTATTGTTCAAAACCCACCCACAGAACCACTGCTTGATTCTTCATTGAAGAGCTGAAGGCCACAAGGTACCTGATAATAGAAATGAATGAGAACACTCAGTGGCAATAAAAGCCATGTAGGAGAGTGGAAAAGTGCATTACAATCATACCGCTTAAAATCATGATTGAGACACTTTGATTTCCTTATTCATCACCTAATGACACTTTAAACATGCTATAATGCCCCAAAGAAGTCTCAATGATATATCACGGTATGAAATTATTTTTCCAGGATTTTTTGTGAAAGGACCAAACATGTCTGAAGATGCCCCCTCGAGCAAGATTTCAAAGGATGTTCAGATATTACCAGAAGTGACTGATAACAATAGATAGTCTGCAGTTCTTTCTCTTCCAAAGTATGTCCTTCCTTAACTGTAACAAAAAGTATGATCCATCCACTTTCACATAGCAAAATCTCTAAACAAACAAGCAAGTAAATTTGATTCTGAGTTTATGTCATTACTTTGCCTTCCTGATGGCTTTGGTCATAGTCTCAAACTTCTCTTTGTCTCTGTCATATTCATTAAGATCTGTTCCTCCAAATATAATGGCAAATGGCACTGGGCAATCTGGCAAAGGGTTAAAAAGGAAATTTTCATATCTCTTTAATTATCATATCCACTTTCTATAATTACTATGTTTAATGAGAATTGCTCAACCCATTTCTTTCAATTTATCTATCACACATTAATATTAATTGCAGTATTTACCCTTTCATTTTTAAGATCTGTGGTTCTCCAATCTACCTTCTATGCATTATCAGGAATATTAGCAAAGAGATTAACATCTCATATCAAGATGCAACACAAAAATTCCACCCTGACTTAGTTGGGAGAAGTTTCATTTTGATGACATGTTAAATGCAGGTTAATTACTGTGCAGGTAACCTTGATCAAAATCATAACAGAATCAATAATCAAATGGATTCATGACTCCTGTCTCAGATTCCCATATGAGTCTGCCTGTGTCTCACTTATGTTAGATCTTATCATCCATTAAGACAAACTCATGTAGAAGCAAAAATTGTGTCCAGGAAGGTGTTTCAAAAGTTTTGTATTGGGTTAGTTTAGATACTGACTTACCTAATAATAGCCGTCCAGCTCTCCAAGCATGTATGCCAATGGCACACTGGAAACCATCAGTTTTAACAAACTTGTTTACTGACTCACTGTCTTCAAAGGATGTCACACAACGCAAGCAGCAGGCTATGTCATAATCAGTTAGACACCTCCTAGGAATTTACCAGCGAGAAAAGAAAAGATACTTTAAACTTGCAGTACCCTGAAAACACATATATGTGCCTGTTTACTTTTTCTAAGCCTACAATATGTGAGATTTCCTCCTTCTCAAAAATCGGATTTCTGAAAATTTATTTGACATAATCACCAAAGATTGTCTAAACACTTTCAAAATATTTCCAAATTTTCTCTAATCATAAAAAAAATTGGTTTTCAGTCCCTTAAACTGAAGTACATAAGAAATTTTTGCACTAAACTCAAACCAATATTCGATAGTTACATATGCCATTTAGCCAGTTTATTAAACTATTTTTACATTATTTTTGAAAATAAATCTAATTTTCCGGTATATTAATCTGTTAAACTAGCTACACGAGGTTTTGACGGGCAAAGAAGTCCTGAAAAGTTCTCGTGAATCTTTAATGTCTATATTTCCCGAATACAGATACACACAGCCACGAAATTTTTGTGAGAATTGCAAACCGGTCAGCGTATGGACCTTTAGAACCTGCAGATATCTTTCAATATCTAAGGGCACTTTGATATTATTCCGTTTTATATTTTAACAAAATAAAAGCTCTTCTAATTGATAAATCTGCCAAATAGAAATATTACCTTCCCAAAATGCGACCAAAAGGTGACCTCCGATTACATATTTTCGAGGTTAATCGTTGATAGTAGTACCTGTTCGCCAACATAAAACAATTACGAACACTTAATTAGATCGCGAACACTTACCTAAGTCGATCGGCGGTGGAGAAATTTCCAGTTTCCGTCGTCAAAGACGCAAGGAACAAGATCTTCATGAATTTATGTCCAAATCTACTACCGGACAATAAACTTTTCGAGAACAAGTGCCACAAAAATATCAAGACATCGTATTTATATTACATCTAAAGTAAACAGAAATTGTTTACGTGTAAGGTGGAAATCTAAATTGGTAACCACGCGTTGGTATTTGACCCGCCCCCATCCCCGCCCCCAACTGGAACTCATTCTTTACCTAACTCATATAGATTCACGGTCAAAATGGCGGATGAAAAGCTAGTAAAACATAAGGGTGGATGCCATTGTGGAAAGGTTCGATTTGAAGTGATGGCCCCAGCAATACTTCATGTGTACGACTGCAAGTAAGTTAAGACCTGGAAACTCGGATGCGAATTAGCCCATCCCAAATCTATGCAGAGACAGTGGATTTTAGCAGACGTTGTCAGAGCTTCAAAGTTTGAAACAAAAAGTTTCGAACTTTGAAACAAGTCCAATTCACAAATATGACTAAGTTACAATCTGTTGTGTCCGCCATCTTCTTAAAGCCACCTCCCTGATCTTAAAGAAAAAAAACTAGCCTGATGTGCTGTAGACTCTTTTTCAGTTGATTGCAAAATTAAATTTAGAATTTTTATCAGCTGATCTTTTATTATAGAGTTATCTCTCTGTCATCATAATAAAAAAATATTACCGGTAAGATGCTTTTTGAAGGTCTCCCATTTCTTTAATAACCTGCGGCTCCAGGTAATTTCAAATCATTGATAATACCATTGGTCTTGATATAAATGTTAATTAACTTATAAAGAGTAGCTGAGGTTATTGACTATTTTTTTACTCTCTTGTGGATGTCAGTTTTCATTTTTGTCAAGCTGGGCAAAACAAGATTCCCAAAAATCATTTTACACCTTTTTGCTCCTTCATAACTTTCTTTTTGCTACACAGCTGCAGTATTTGCAAGAAGAAACAAAACAAGCATTTTATTGTTCCAAAGGATCATTTAACTTTGTTAGAGGTATATACTGTTACAGCAAGTTAACAATTAATCAAACTGTTCAAAACAAGTTACATGGCTTTTTATTGTTAAAAAAATACATCTGATCTTCTTAAGTAGTCTTTACACTTGCCTTGGATGAATCTCAAATGCCTAAATTAAAACTAATGATGTGAAACACCAAAGTTATCCAATCATGTTTTTGAATAAGTTGAATATCATTGAATATTCATGTCTAATTGCAAATGGTGGTGCTGTGATAGGCTGTGATCCATAGATTGTGTTATGAGAGCTAAGAGTTGACCAATGCCATTACTTCCATCTCTAGTATTTAAGGGGGTGATACTCTTGACAAATCAATAATATATCAGTGGATAAATTTTTTTTTCTCTAGGGTAAAGACAATTTAACCTGCTACACATTTAATACACATGCTGCAAAGCACCTTTTCTGCAAGACCTGTGGTGTGCAGAGTTTTTACATCCCTCGATCTAATCCTGATGGTTATGGAGTCATGCCTCATTGTTTGGATGACGGTACAGTGGAGGATGTTGAAGTTGAGGATTGCGATGGTCAGAATTGGGAGAAGTTTATTGCTGAAAATCCTGGAATCAAAGAGCGATCAAAAAAGGAGTGACAGAAGCTTTCCTAATGGATAACCACAGAATGATACCATCTACACTATACTGAACCTGTTCCATTAAATCAGTCACAAATCTCCATAGGGATACATTGAACAGGTCCTAAACTTATTATTATATTTTTCTAATGAAATATTCCCATTAGAAGCCTATTAGTGAAGATGATGTCCAGGCCTACAGACCTGTCACATTCCTCAAAAAACTCACCTTCTATGTAGAATTATATTTAGCTAAATTTGTACACTCAAATGAAAACATTTCTCATCAATTTCTTGGTTTCCCACACAACTTGGTTGTAATAAGAGTTTAACCCTTTATCAACCCTGATTTAGCAAGACAGAATTTCTCCTTACAATATCAATACAACATCAAGAAGACAAATGATGAGAATAAAGAAAAATATCAATTAGAGGAATATTATCTGATCCAGTACCAAATTCTCTGAATTTACATCATGAGAATTGTATAGCAGACAGTGAGGGGAATTGCTTATGAGATCTTAAGAGTGAAAGTGTTAACAAGAAGTTGCAATATAAAAGGTCCCATGATAAGTTGTCTATACATCCTTGCAGCAAAAAGGATGTTGTTGATGATAAGTTACCAAATGAAGTTGGAACTACTCCACATTTTCAGTGAGATTTCTTGCCTTTGGATGTTCATCAAGGTATCTTTCCCAGTTCTGCCAGTCTAAAGCATCACATGGAACAACCTCTGCATTCTTTCTAGTTTCTTCTTCATCCAAACACTGCAGTGAAATGCCACGTCCCTCAGGATTAGAGCGAGGTTGGTAGAATGGGTGGATACCACAAGTGGAGCAAAAGTAGTGTTTAGCTTGGTGGGTGTTGAAGGTATAACAAGATATATGCCCCTCTCCCTTGGAAGAAAAAAAATGATGATAATGAAGGGATGATTTGCTGATGAGTGTAAAAGCTGGGAAAGCAAGAAAAAACACAAGGGAGGACTCTCCCCTCACCCATCATTTATCACTCCCTCCCAGACCCCCATTTATTTTTCCCTCTTGCTTTCTTGTTTGTCTCTACAGACTGAGATCCTGACTGTTAAAAGTCTCCCTTTTAACATTCAAGGTTGCTAGGAAATTATGATCTATTCCAAATACAATTTTTGTCAACATGATCTGATGAAAGGGATGATAGTTTATCTGCTTATAAAAAAATGTGCCTGTCAAGGCTGTAAAAGCCAGGTGTTTATATTTGGGTCAAGAAACTGGTTGACAAGCATGAGCTGATTTGAGATCGAAGTTTCTGATCTGCACTGCAGGGGTGTAAATCATGTCCACTGAAAGAAAGTTGACGGGAATAAACACAGGACAGTTTCAGGAAAGTTACGTGCAAATGAGTTTGAATGTATCAGGTAAAGCTCATTTGCACCCTGAAAATACAACACTAAGGGCTTATGAATACTTGATGGAGGGGGTAAGCTGCCAAGGAGACCCCTTAGGGAGACTTGAATCGGGTGGAGGGAGAACTTTCAATTTGTTATTATACCTACGCATCATTTAGCTTCATGAACTGGAGGAAACCTTCATACCTGTGTCAATTTAAAATTTTCTTTTGGAAGCCAGACGAGAAACATCCCTTTTTTCACACAAATGGTACAGCTGATGACAAAATTAACAGTTAGAGACATATTATGTTCACGATCTGCTTCAATAAAGTCAAAAAATAGCTTGTATTACTTGCAGTCGTAAGCCTTCAGCACAGGTTTAGCTAAGACCTCGAAGCGAACTCTTCCACAATGACATCCTCCGGTGTGTCTAACAAGATTAACCGTCATGAGCTACTAGTAATTAAGAGAATTCAACCCGAACTTCTTCGCCACGGTATTAAACTATTTTGTGTTGGCTTCGCGGTCGGGCCAGTCCCTAAGACGGGCCGGTATGTCACGCAATTTGTCACGCAACCGAAATATCTGTGATTTCAACATTATAGTGATTCTTTTTTCAACTGTAAAGCCAATCCCGGAAGTTTAAATGGCCTATTTTTAAGACGTTATTCATTGACGCGACTGTGACCTGGGTGATGAGCAGCATTTAATGGGAAATTTATGTTTTGTAATTCACCTGGTTGGGGACAACGCTGCAACACATTTGTTATCTAAGCTCGGACTTGTTTCTAATCTCCTTTCCTAGGTGGAAGCAGTTGGATTCATCGTGAATGTCACCTCCTGTACAACATAGCGCATGCTTTTTCTCTCTCTAGGGTAATGACAACCCTAAGTAACTTGCTATAAATTCAATACACATACTGCCAATATGACTGACACAGGTCTTCCTACCAAATTACCGCATAACGATATACCATCTACACTATACTGAACCTGTTCCATTAAATTGATCACAAATGACCATATGAGTACATTAAACAGTTCCAAAGTTAACAAAACTTAGTATTGTAAGTATTTAGTGTAATATTCCCTCAAAATTAACAGAGATGATGTCCGTGCCAGCAGGCCTGTGGCATTCTGCAGATGCTGCTACGTTACCTGCTACGTTAAATATATTTTTGTTAAATTGTACACGCAAATTATACAATATAACACAGTATTTCTTGTGTTGAGATTTCTGTTAACTTATCTTTCCTTTACAACTTGGTTGTACAAGGAGTTTACCCCTCCAAACTAACACAAGAATGGGTCAAAGTCAATATGTGAGCACTGTGCACCACCCACACAGCAACAGCAACAGTCAACTGATTACAAGTTAGGGTTAAAGTTGGGTTTGGGGAGGGGTAGGTGCACAGTTGGTCAGATTCTGTCATTGATTCATGAGAATTGTATAGCATGCAGTAAAGAGAATTACTGATGAGATCTTGATAATGAATGGGTTAACAGGAAGTTGTATGTCAGCAAACAGTAAGCTGTTGATGATAATTCATCAACAACTGAATTAATTAAAATTGAATACTACTCCACATTTTCAGTGAGATTTCGGGCTTTTGGATGTTCATTAAGGTACTGTTCCCACTTCTCCCAGTTTGTAGCATCACATGGAACAACTTCTGCTTTCTTTTTAGTTTCTTCTTCATCCAAACACTGCAGTGAAATGCCACGTGCCTCAGGATTAGTGCGAGGTTGGTAGAATGGGTGGATGCCACAAGAGGAGCAAAAGTAGTGCTTAGCTTGGTGGGTGTTGAAAGTGTAACAGGATATATGCTCTCCTCCCTTGGAAGAAAAAGAAAATAATGAGAATGATGACAATGTAGGGATGATAAGGGATTGAATTTAAAAGCAACCAAGAGATATTACAAGGGAGGGGGGGGGGGGAAAGGACTATCAAGAGGAAAGAAAGGACTCTCCCCTTGCCCCCTTACACATCCTTTTTCACTCCTTTCCAGACCCCCACCCATTTTTGCTTGCTTGCTTTTTTGTTCGTTTATGGTGACTGAGAACCTGACTTTAAATAGTCTCCCTATGAACATCCAAGGTTCTTGTGAAAGTATAATCACTTTAAAAGAATTATCTCTATATGATTTGTTGAAGGCAATGATGCTTGAACTAGTTTTGAAAAAATGTTGTAGTCAAGGCTGTTCTGACGTTCTGTGGGCATGAGAATCACGCTTTAGTTGCAGAGAATACCCCTGGTACAATCACAAGATTGTTATGTGCAAAGAGAGTTGGAATTTATCAAGTATAGCTTATTTTGCCATGGAAATAAAACAACAACACAGAAAATACTTCGAGTTTAAAAAAAACTTAATGAAAGGGGTAATCTCCAGGAGGAACCCCTCTAGGGGGCTTGTATTGGGGGTGGAGTTGGGGCTTACCTAATTATGTCAACCGGTCACTTTGCATGATGCACTAGTGAAATTCTTCATACCTGCGTTAGTTTGAAATATTCCTTTGGGAGACAGACGAGAAGCATCCCTTTTTTCACACAAATGGTACAGCTGATGACAATTATGAAAAAATTAGAGGTAGATTATGTACAAAACCCACTCCGTTACATGTCAAATCTAAAAAAACTTAAAAATAGCGTCCTCTTACTTGCAATCGTAAGCCTTCAGCACGGGTTTAGCTAAGATCTCGAAGCGAACTCTTCCACAGTGACATCCTCCGGTGTGTTTAACAAGATCAGTAGACATGATTTACAAGAAATTAGGAGGACTCACCTCAAAATTCTTCGCCTCGGTTACTAGTTTACGTTGGCTATGCATCCGGGCCACTAGTAACTCACGCAATCTGTTTTAGCTAAAATAAGTCACGCAACGAAATTACTTGTTGACTGAAGTTATAGCTGTTTTCACGCAGGCGTTCCTTGACGTGATTTGAATTAGGTGAAAAGTAGGATGTAAAGAGTAATTTGCTCTATTAAAAAGACGAAAATAAAATAAAAGAATTTGAAATTGCTTTGAATAGAAAATTTCGCAGCAGTACATTGTTTAACTGAATTGCGGATTGTTTCTTATCTCTTCTGTCTTAAGGAAGCTGGTCGACTCATCGTGAATTTTCAAAAATCCTTTATAATACAGCACACCGCGCTTGTCCTATCTAATTTTCATTTTGCCACCAAGGTATATCTAACAGATACCGTGTTGCCTGGTCTGTAAGAGATCACTGATGACGTCAAAATGTGGCAAGAACTGAGAAGGTGGCGCAGCAGGAAGGGGAGAGGAGGCTGGGAACGTTTGGGGTGGGTAGGGGAGGGGAGGCTTAAAAGCAAGATCATGACATCTTGTTCAAATCAACTTCAGTCAATAATTTACAAACTTGGGTTATGAATTGATTATAAGTTTTAAACAAATTACTTCAAATTTGCAAACTTTAGAAGGGGAAAACTAAATTTTTTTTTAAAAAAAGTTCACAAACATAGGTCTAATAGCTGTACATACAAGTGATAATTTCTTTCCTGAGGGGAAATCAACTTCAGCAAAATGAAAATTTAGGTCTTGTAACTTAAAAACAATAACCAAAAAATACCTTTTTCTTGCTCAAAAGGGTATTGAGTTTTTGCAATTTTTTCAACAAAATACAGTACTTCCATCTGTTACCCTGTACATAAAACAAAGTGAAAAGAACATTTTTGTCCAAGTATTATTTATTTTCAAACATCTAAAACCAATTTTAAAAAAATATCACATCAATGTACAGATGGTAAGCCAGCATTTAAGTGATCACGTGGGGAACCAGAGACCCAAAAACTAATAGCTATCAGTAACAGTATCAGAGTCTTCTTCTCAGAGTGTGGCTTAAAATAAATAATCACCTCCAACTATATAAACAATGAAAATACTGTTTGATATTCAAATAATTTACATACAACAAATTTGATATCATTCTTTGGCCTCGCACAGCTAAGTAGCAGCACTATAACAGCACATCATGAGGTTGTTGTAGATTTGAACACTATAGGCAAATCTTATCAACTCCTAACTACCTCCTGAACATTTCCCATGGAACAGTCTCAAGGGGTGCAACCTATAATACTGCCTGAATGAGTATGTAACAACAGACATGGTTATATGGTTCTTGATACTCAAAAGACTCAAGAAAAAAAGCAGGGTATAAAATCTAGCCCCTTAACCCTTAGAGTTGTACAATCAGGTTGCCAATTTACCCTCTTGGCAGCTCAACTGTCACTCCTTGTGAAGAAGTTAAAAGAATTTGGCTTAATACCAAAACAATGATTCTTAAGCCTCTTGAAAAGGAAGTCTTTCTGGACCAGAAGTCTTATAGTCAATAGTCAGCTAAGGCCATGGTGGTATATTTCCATCCAGAGTTCCCTTTTATTGCCCCCAACCCCTGACTCTTAGTGCTACTGCACATTGTCAGTGTAGTTTGAGGCATCTGGATGTTCCATCAAGTACTTTTCCCAATTTTCCCAGTCAAGGGCATTAATAACGACTGTATCAATTTTTTGTACAGTTCCTCCATCCAGACAATGCAGTGAAATGCCATAAGCCTTAGGATTACTGCGAGGTCGATAGAATGCATGAATTCCACATGTTGTACAGAAATAGTGTTTAGCTTGATGGGTGTTATAAGTGTAACAAGAGATGTGGCCTTCACCCTAAAAACAAAAGAAAAACAAACTCATAACCATTGAATCACCAAAATGCCAATTGGGCAGGGAGAATCAGCACACCAGTTGCAGTAAAATCAGATTTGCATTAACAAGCAATAATTGGATGAGGTTGAACATATCATGAATTATCAAAGCAGAGGTGGCAGACTTATCTGCCAAAGCCAAAGGCTGAGGCAGATAACACAGACACAAGGTTTGATAATTCATGATATCAAGTGAAAAACAAATTTAACATTTTTTAAACAACCTGCAACAAAACACTGAAAAAAAGTTTAAGAACACTACAAGGACTAAAGGCTTGCTAACTAGGCAGAATTTAAACTCAACTTGATAAATGCAATATCTGCTGCAGATATTTCATTTTTATGTCAAAGTCACACACTATTGTATATTGATTGAATGTTCTTAACCAATCAGATTTTCATAGTAAGTCTAATGCATGTAATAGGCTTGATGAATAGAGTCAGGACAGGAGATCATCCTTTTTATCACAAGTAGGTGATGACAGTTTTATTGTTGAAAACTTGTTGATTAAAAATGTATCAACTCACACAGCCCTGACGTCGTGTTCACCTCATATCTCAGAAAAATATGTATTTACAATTGAGTTATACACTACAAACACTGCATACTCAAATTTAACAAACGTGTGAAAGATATGTTGGATCCATAATTTTATATACCTGGAGAAGTTTAAAGTTTTCTTCAGGAACAAGAACAGGTGTGATCCCTTTCTTCACACATATGGTGCAACTAATGAAAACACTTGTAAGTTAGTGTCAAACATATGGATTTTTCGTATAAATATCACGAATAGTGCAATTTAATTGGCTTCGCAGCTTGCTACCTACTCCTCGACTGTCGAGCTCATAATCACAAATTGTTCATTAAACCATGTAAAACAAATTCAGTAAAAAGGAACATTTACTTGCATTTCCAAGCCTTCAGCACGGGTTTAGCTAAGATCTCGAAGCGAACTTTGCCACAATGACAACCTCCGATGTGTTTAACAAGATCGACAGCCATCACTAATAGTAGCCGAATTCTTGGGTGGTTCTTTGAGTCCATGAAAACCTTCAAAACTAAGGGATGGCATATGTTGCTTATTTTTTTCAGGTTACCTAGTTCCCAGGATCCCACGGGACTGACGGCTTAAGAGAAGGGACGACATACCTTAAGCTTCGAAATCGTTCCTTGTCTGAAAATTGTTAAACTTCCGACGACAGCATACAATTTTTCTACCGCATTTTTAATGATTTCTCACAAACTTCTGTTAAAAATTTTAAACTCTATCAAGCAGCTTCTTTCCAATGGTTGTCTCTCATCTACTTACGTTTTAAACCACAGGAGTGATGAAAATCTCACTTCCCCCAACAATTACAAGAAATTATTCCACTGCACAGTTGATGGAGATAGGCAAACCGGCCAGCTAGATGGTGCAATCTCTACTAAGCTTGATATAAAACCAAATTCTCCAAACTCCTTTTGAGGGAAAAGTGTTGAAATCAAATGGGAAGAGACTATCACTGATCTTGAGACTACAGTGTACATGACTAAGAGATTCTATTCCATTCTAAACAGTTAACCTTTTAATTTCACCTTAGCCCTTTCTTAAAATAAGGACTACATAAGGACTACAATATAATTTAAATAATTTCATAAGTTTTAACAATAACTATTCCTTGCTGCAGCTTAATAGTGGCAGTCTCAACTCGCGGTTGTTTAACTAATATCATTACATCTATCTGAATAATATGACTGCCCCAAAACATGATATGCACCAATAAAAGAGAAAAAAAACTGATAGTGTTTTTACAAAAACATCCATTGACCCAAAAGGATGCAAAGCTACCTTATTTTCTGGGTAAACTTGCTATATTGCATGACAAAGGGCACTTTTAAAGTGAGTGTACACCAAAACCTAAGTAATAATCATGGCTAATCAGGAGCATATTTTGCAAGGAGCCAGTGAGAAATCAAAGGAAAAACATATAGCTCTAGCATCATGATTAGTTTCAGTGACCTTCCACTTAAATTACAGCAAATAAAAAGGTAAAAAAATGACAATTGTAGGCACACATTACTTTTGCCAGTTATGAAAAATTTGCAATGATTTTGCAATCTCTAAAACATATGTAATGCAATGTTTGATTACAAACCTCTTAAACTGCAAAGCTATAGCAATTGAAAATGTTAAACCCTCACTTCTGTTGAGGATTGATTGATTAACTAATCAGAATACCTGATCAAATTTATCATTATTACTTAATGACAAGCTCTGTTTGTACTACCTTTATAGTTTTGCTTGCTGTGTATGGCTTAAAAATTCATTTCCTTCTTTAAGAAGTATAAAAGTACTTAAGTATCCTCAAGGTAAACCTCTACAAAAATGAACTGATAGAAGACAAAGATCGAGTTCCAGTCACTTTAGACACAGCTTATTTTAAATTAAACTACAGTTCCACTCAGTAGTAAGTTAACAGTCCTTCAAAACTTAATTGTGGATACTTGATCCTTTATATGCAAAACTATTGCATAAAATGTGCAAGACAGCATTACCTATATATCAAATTGCTTATCACAGAGCCAATGAAAAACTAAAATCTACTTTTCTCTTATAACTATCTCCTTACCTTCCTAAATTATAAACATAGAAGCCCTTTCACTTCCAAGATTTCAATATCAATTCTATTTACTTTGTGTAACACATTTCTTATGATTCCAAAGCTGACAAATTAGTGATGAATCAAGCAATATCCTCTATTTTGATTATTCTCTTTCTCCTCGTCACCTCTCTAAAGAACAATGTAATAAAGCAAAGGGACAATCATTTGTTGATATTTCTTGGAAGTGAAAGGGTCAGTTTGTCTGTGATTTACTATGTTGTCAAGCCGTCATATGAGGGGTCCACTTTGAGAGGGTAGCAAAGGGTCTAGATGTGATGTGAGATTAAAGCCAAAATTAAGTCAAACATGATATGTGAACCCTGGTTTTTTTTTTTTCATTTTGTGAAAGCCTCAACATTTCCCTGAAACTTTGCTCCAAGAAGAGAGCTATGAAATTCACCCTTTTGAATTTGAAATGTATAAAATGCTGTTAAAAGTATATGTGATTTGGAATTTTTCTAAGATTTGTGCATAAATGGGATCAGGACCCCCCCCCCTTTTGCTACTCTCCTTTCACATCTTCTCGTATAGGCTTTTATGACCAAATTACAATGGGTTCACTTACCTCACTTACCCCAGTATGACCTACACAAGGACAATTTTTTTTACAATCAAAGGCTTGTTTAGTTGGTGGTCATTTCCTCATCTTGTGATGTTAATGTTTGATTTAGGGGTGATATTGTAGGGAAAAATTACCGATAGATGCTAGTCACTCTAACTGGCCAAAGGGTTTATTGGAAACCTGTTGACATGCTTTGTCTATCCCTACAATTTCAGTTTACAAATAGTACTTGAATTATGCATTAGCTCCATGATCTTGTTCTCTGTTTTCTATGACTGTCACCTCCATATCATCATCATCATCCTCTGGTTTGGGACTTGGTACCTCATCCCGCCTGATATATGTAGCTCCCAGCAATGATGGGTTTGGACAGCAACAGGTTCTCTGCATTGCAAGAATCAGTGACTTCCTAAACTTCCTTAAACGCCAGGCAAAAACAAAAGGATCCATGGCAAACTTCCACAACAGGAAAAGCTGGGCAATCATCAATGCAATATACCCGTTCAATGTAAAGTTGAACAGCACTAGGGCTAAAGTTATACAGAATGGCCAAACAGTTATGATCAACATTGCTGTCAAGATCAATGTTCCATACACAAAATCTTTTTCAGCCTGTCGTCTCCGCAGTTCTGACTCATTAGCTTCTGCAGGAAGTCCTTCCTGTCCTGCATTTTCCCCTAAATCAGCATTTCGATGTCGTTCAGCCAGCTTACGGAACTGTAAGTAAATGGCTATGTACAGTACTAGAAGGGCAATAGTCAACAGTGTTACATGCAGTATCAAGTCCGTCAAGATGTAGGCGAAGTCATCAACATCAAACATTTCAGGCAGCAATGCGAAAAATATTGCATAAATCCAAATGAAAACCACTCCGATGCGCGCAGATTTTGGGCTTACGAACTTGTCGTAAATTCTGGGGCTGTTAATCAGTAAATACTGAGTAATCCCCAGTCCTAACATAATGAGGAAGGATGCGTTCATAGTGAAAAATGAAAAAGCTTGAGCGAAGCGAAGAAATTTCCACACGTCTTCTGAATCGGAGGTGTAGGCCCAGAGATAGAACACCACATAAGCTGGCTCCACGATCAAACCAGTCAGGAAATTGGCGCTTGTCAAGCCAGCGATGAAGATCGCCGACGGAGTTCGAAGACACTGGAGCGGGTCTTTGTAATACGTAAACAGAAACACGCCATTGCTAATAACTGTTGCTATAGCAAGTACAAACAAAACCATGATGGAAAACGCTTCTACCATGAAGTAGACATGATAATCTTCAGAGTATGTAGAATTTGTGGCATTTGTAAGATTGGATGAATTCATGACTTGTTTGCGGAAAATACTCAGGCAGCGCCTAAGTTACAGATCTGATACAACAGCTGGACGACAGCAAATTCAGAGCTTTAACACTTCCTCGGAGGGTTATTCTCAAAGAAATTCTTTAGCAACTACTGTTAGAGGGAAGAGTCTTCGAGATCAATTTCGTAACGGCGAAGTTGCCCAAACATTGAGACTTGTGATCAAAGATGGAAAATTGCAGCTTGCAAGCTGCGCAGCCACTGATCCGCCCACGCCAAATGCCGTCGGGACCTGGGTAAAAGTCACGCAAAGGTATCCGATGAGGTTGTGTGACTAAAGAATAACAAAAAAAAAGTTGTAGATGAAAAATGTCTTTCATATTTCTTTACTTTCAGCAACAAAAGCATATCTCGTAAATTATATTAATAAGAATGACCTCTGTTATGGAGAAGATAGCACTGTTCAACAGATGTTCCTTATAATTCCAAATTCGTCAGAAGTCACCCAATAATGTTCTTTCACTGTTGGCGTCAGTGAAAGCGAAGACAAACAACCGAACAAAAGAACAAATAAACAAAGACAGTGTATTTGCAGCCTTGCCTTCAGATTGCTGTCGCGTGATCGCTCCCTAAAACTCGTATAATACAGGACAGACATTTCGAATCCTAGAAACCGCAGCTGAGGTTTGTAAATTATTAAGATCTTAGCTTTTGATGGTTTTTCGCCTCAAGTTTCACCGCAGTCATTACCGAACAAATATTAATAATAAATAAGTTTTTTTCCTCTAAAAATGAAATAATCATTTCTTTGTTTCTTCTGTATATTTGCAGAACAATCAATTCCTTAGGTCCGAAAAATGTTGACGAATTTCAGTGCCCGAAGCATCTAAACATTGCGGGCAAAAGGGGCAAAAGTATTTGATCTCTAATTTCTCATATGAATACTGAACTATTATTTTTAGTGAGGAGTCTCATTTCCGCGTCTGCCGGAACGAAGCTGAGTTCGTAGAGAAGTGGACCACGTGCAAGCTTTATTTGGTTCTTACGTCCCTTTCAAAGACCCTCTCGTGTTTTCATAGCCGAAGAAGATATGTCAAGTTCATCGAATGCGACATATTCCTCCAGCGGTCCCCATGAGGACTTCGACATTTACTACGAGATAGACGTAGCCTCCATCGTTGTCATGCTGTTCTTAGCTGTTGTAACGGTTATCAGTAATGGGGCTTTTTTATGGACTTTCTACAAAGATCCACTAAAATGTCTCCGAAAGCCGTCTGCAATTTTCATCTCCGGTTTGACGAGCGCTAACTTTGTGAGCGGCCTAATTGTGGAGCCATCTTTTGTGGCGTTCTATTTCCGACATTTCCTCTCGCACTCGGCGGAATTTCTTCAGTACTTCAGTGTTGCGCAGTTGTTTGCTTTTATGACCACAACTACCTCATTCCTCGTTACTTTGGCACTGGCGATAGTTCAATACTTACTTATCAAGTTTCCCAGCAGTTATCAGAAAATCGTGAGCCCTGTATCAGCATTTGTCGGCGTACTTTCCATTTGGATTTATTCGTTAATTTTTGGCTTGATTCCATTGATGTCTACCGTCAACAGATTTGCATATGTGTTGACGAACCTTGTACTTCATATAATGATACCGACTGTTTTACTTGTAATCTTGTACATAGCTATTTATTTGGAGTTTCGGAGTCGTTTTCAAGTTAACTCTGACAGAAGAATGGAAGTACAACAAGCCTCATTTCAACTCACAGAATCCGAGGAACAGCGACGAAAAGCAGAAAAGGATTTCGCCGTCGGAACGTTCATTTTGACCTTTGTACTAATAATTCTTGTTTGGCCATTTTGTGTGTCTCTGTACATGGTGAACTGTTGTTTCACAGTGAGAACAGCTTTAGCAGTGAGAATCGCTCAACTTTTCTTACTGTGCAAGTTTGCCGTGGATCCGTTCCTGTTTGCTTGGCGTTTTCAAAAGTATAGGAAGTCGTTGTTTCTAGCAATGAGAAGTATCTGTTTTTGTTTCAAGCCAACGTTACCGCGCGCCATAATTGTCAGAAAAAATGAAAAAAACAGTCCTAAAACTGATGAGGATGATGATGATGAAGAGGGACTCGAAGTAACTGTCGTGAGGGACTGATTAAGATTAACACTTTTAAAAGATTGATATAAGATAAGGCTAATCTGTGACTAATCTTCTCAGGCGTTCTATGGGATGTCACGCAACATTCCTCCCAAAAGGGGCTTTATTCGAGGCAGAGTTATCTGACATCTTTAACGGCTGTAGAAGAGTATAATGTTTGGCAAACGCTACATATATAATTCAGGAATATTGGTAGATCTTTTGCAAGAATAACGTAGACGGCAAATTCTAATAAATAGTGGAATATCCTAGAATGGTTTTAGAATGTCAAGGGATGTCGATTCTTGATTACAAGCATTCAAAGCCATGTTTGGGATCAGTAACCCTATTACTTTCAAGTTGATCAATGTTGGTATGTCCTGCATTTATTTGGCGAGTAGAATCATTAACATCATTCTCTTCAATTGTTTTGTAGAGGAACTCTAACGCTCGGCGGAAAGAGTAATATTCCTGTTAAAATGATTTTCATTCTATTTATCTATTCCTGACAAAATTACTGTACAAGACTTTACACAGTCTAGCGATACATCATTTTACGCTAGAATGGTACAATACACTAAAAAACTGCCCTACCATATTACTAATACTAGCACATAATAATTACTACATTACATTATACAGAGATTACAATACATCAGTGAATACTATAATTCATCAATACCACTGTTCAATAGTTACAGTTGTATTTTACAAAAACTATAATGAGTTGACAACATATTCCTCTCCGATGCAATGTTCTGCCCTATTTAGTGGGTTGCTTTTATCTTGGCTATGAACACCTACCTATAAAGACAGATATTGCATTTATATGAATAAAATTCAGCTTATAATATAAGGTGTTTCAGATATAATGTAGTCTTCAGCAGTATCAAACATCCAAAAATAACTTGTCCTGATGTTACAGCTAGAGTTACTACATTGGTCAATTAAGATGAAATACAGTGCCAAAATGATTTTGTTGAGTTAAGGGATTCTATGTCGGGAACCGTGAACAATGCCTTAAGTCGTTTTTAGTTTCGCTATTGCTGTTTTTGTCATGACCGGAAATGTCTCCAATCAATCAATCAATTTTTAAATTTGAAAAGGTTTTCTAGTTGGTTGAGAAAACGCGGTCAATGAGTTATACCTTTTGTTTAAAAATTTGATTAATCAGGAAACGTGTCTTTGGTGCGTTTTCGACATAATTGAATTAAGAGGTGAGTCGATCTTTTAAATTTAAACGGTAGAAAACAACGATTTTGTTCAAAA